GGTTGTAATGAAGTAGCTTGCGTTATGGCCTGGTTCACGAAGATTACGTTGTGGTTTGAAATCACATCAGCGCATTTTGGATTGTCAGAAAGTCAACAGATTCTTTATACTACGCACCTCGTTGGAAATAATCAAGATGATAGCTCTCTCTAGCCGGGCGCTGTGCAGGTACCGATGTAGCCAACGTTTATTGCGAATATAGTTCAGCAGACTTTTGGTTAGAGAGATCTCAAAAGGTTCCAACATATGTTTTATTATTCGCTAGGTGGTCTTTAGGAGCATGAAGCCAACTATGTTGCCCGTTTACAAATCGACTTGAGTCCCGACTACTCCCGCCGGGAGGTGGGCATCCAACAGAGTCTATGAGTCACAACCCTGATAGATACCTTGTCTTACTTCGTCGGTACCTGTGAACGGGTAGCTCAGTTGCTCTGGACTTTTCCTATTCTCACTAAACTCAAAATCCATCTCAGTCTGAATGGCTATCATGAAGCTAATAGCACTGACAATTGAGATGTTAGTTATTGATAGATTGTCTTGTTAGGAACACACCAATCGGTGGCGTTTTCTGCGCACAGCTTCTAGCCTCAACACACAAGAATCCAAATAATCCAGACCACCTGATCCAAACGGCGAGCGAGCCACTGATAACAATCAAAGTTGACAGTAAATCAGTTAGCTGATTGATGCATCGGGCTTCGGCCAAAGGACTTATCTTACCCCAGTAACAAACACAAACGGCCAGTCTGTTCATGGTTGGACTCGGCGTAGTCTTGAATATCCTGCGGACATCTGATCCATCAGTCTTGCAACCTTTCAGCGAGGATTGCATCAGATGCCAGCTTCGGAGTCTTACAGATGGAACCAAGCTTCGCCATGCTCGGGATCATCTCCCCAGAATGGGCGCGAATAACCATCATTGAGAAGTTCCCACTCCCGCCTGTTCTCTTCCATGACCCTCTCCAACGTTGATTCAGGCGCATTGTGTCCAATGAGGTATAACCAATCAAGCTTCTGAGCGACTTGAAGAGCTGAAGCGTCCCAAGATTGAATGTGTACTTCCCGCAGTGGGCAATCGGTTGACGTATCAGAGGCGGAATGATTGCTAGACACTGTCGAGAGGGGATAACCGATGACTGGTGCCGGAGACAGTGCTTCTTTAGAGGAGAAGCAGCCCATCCTCATTATTGCGCCGATGCGCCGAGAAGGGAAAGCTGAGAGCGTCTCGACTTGGGTCGAGAGAGGGAGATTGATTCCATGTCCTCTAATATAAGCCCTGTTGTCTTTGTGCATTTCTCTGCAACAATAGTCTGGGAGAATTCTGTCCACGTTCACTTTTTTCCTTTGGAAACTTGAATGGACATTTTATCATCAAGAATCGTCGGTCATTGAGACTAATCACTTTTGGAGCCAGCTCTTTAACGATTCCGCAATAAGCCCCCAGCAAACAAGATCCAATCAAAGGGAGATTGGTCGCTGGCATTACAGAAGTCTCTAGAAGCCTCTCTTAGCTGTCGGGCATATTTGACCATGCAGTGAGGGCTGCACGCTTTCGACATTGCCAAGATACTTGTCATTATCGTGTTTTTCGCCATTACTAAAACCCAATTACGACATGATAGCATCATCGATATGAGTGGTAGCTTATGTTACCCAGCCATTCAAAGCATGTTAGAAATATTGAACAAGGTTTGGTATCTGGGCGGATATCTCTACCTCTATGTTCGGGCAGGTACTTGGAGACGACGCCGGCGCTTGCGAGATTGCAACGAAACTCCTCATGCTAGCCGTACAAATGCGACGCCAGCGCATGAACCCACGCGAGACATTGCTTGCATTCGGTTGCAACAGCAATAAAAAGGTGAAGGAATGATGCAATTCAATACAGCTTCCTGTGCTAATTGGCATTTTATGTTATGAAAAGTTGATATCTTCACTGTGACTGTCCTTTTTTCGTGTAGTATATGCGGAGAAAAAAGCCCATTACAATCCATCATAGTCAGGATAAGTGCCGCCAGCTTCATCTCTGATGATGTTAGGGCCAAGAATGCTGTCAAAGATCCCATCCTTATCGTTCCTGATGCTCATATAGTATTCATGTACGACGGGGTGTTTTTCTGCCCAGCTCTTGGTGAAGACCTAGGATGCCGTCAGTGTTAGTCCAATACCAGGATATCTCGCCTAGACGTACATATTGGTAGCCTCGGGCAAGACCGGAAACCACGAAAAGGTCGGCCAAGGTTAACGTATCACCAACGAGATACTTCTTGCCCTTGATCTCCTTCTCAATGGCGCGGATAGTCAACTCGCAACCTTCCTCCCGCTCTTTAAGAATCTCTGGGCTTGTTGGTGCTCGGCCAATGATGGGCTGGATCCATGCCATGATTGGCGGCAGAAGCTCATAGTTCGTGAAAGAAGCCCATCGGATGACTGTTGTTTCTTCCTTCAGGTTAGACCCACACAGCTTTGTGTTGGGATCTTGCTTCGCGACTGATGAACCGTCAGTGTTGTGTTGTTTTTACAGAACGCGGAGGCACCCACGAAACCAGGCAACAGCGTTGCTCTCATACACTTCGAAGCCATCGGATGTTTCGAGCGCCGGGACTTTGCCAGTATGAAATTTGGACAGGTATACGTCGCCGACACCCCCCTTTTCCGGATACACCTTGATAGGAAATGCATTGCAGATTTCAACGTCTAGTTTGTTGTACTTGGCAACGAAGAGTACCATGGTCGAGCGTGGCGCCTTCGGGTATGTGTACAGCTTGCCGAAAGACATTTTGGGAGTGAAATTGTATGGCGATTTCGGAATGGTGCAATCGAGGAAACGAGGGATGATGAGTGAAAGATTTCAATAGTGATTTAATGGTCATCAATGAGAATTTCGTTTGTTTTCAAGCTTGTTCTTTTGTGACACTCCGCTGGAAGTCTTCGTCAAGGACGACGTTTCATGGACCGGCTGCTTATCCCCGATTGCACTGGGCGGAGCACCGCGCGTAGACAGTTGCATGGGGAGGAGCTCCACCTTGGCGGAGAAGACTCCGTCTACTCTCGCTGTGACTGCGAACCAAGGCATGCGAGAATTGATGAATCAGGTGCTACCCAAGCAATTCCCGGAGAAAGACACCCGGAATGTTTTGGGATTACCTGTGATGCTCGCACTCTGCTTCACATGGGGATGACCTTATGTTGTGAGGAGCTCCGCCTTGGATCGCTGCGCGATGTGGAGTCCCAGTAGTGGCTTACGAACCGATCAGCTGCGATAAGGCAGCCAGAACCTCGAATAAAATGATGCAGGACTCTGTGGCGCTCTGAGACACCAGAATTTGAAGGAAATACCATTTTGTTTCTACATTGGAAGGTCGCTCGCGAGCTTGACTTGGTATTCATAAAGCTAAACAAAACAACATTGTCCCAACACGAAGTGAAAAGAATGGATTGCAAGTTAGTGCTCGAATGAGAATCCGAGAGCCTCAGAACGCAATTGTTGACACAATTGAAAGCTACATTCTAGTGACTGGTGCAACTGGACTGGTTGGGTCTCATGTTGTGGACAACCTGTTGAGGAAGGGTTACAAAGTCAGAGCGGTGGCAAGATCAAAGCAAAAGGCAGACGCTTTCCTATCAGCAAGAGCCCAGTACGCCTCGAAGCTGGACTTCTACTTTATTGAGGACCTTACCGACCCAGGTGCCTTCGATGAAGCCGTCAAAGACATCGATGGCGTCATCCATGTTGCCAGTGTAAGTAGAGGCAACGAATTTGAATTCCCATTGGCCACGGCCAGTAAGCTGAGACTCTTGCGAGGACGTAGCCTCTCAAGTACGACATAAAGGATAACGAGAATGATCTCGTCATTCCCGCACTGAAAGGCGTAAGGTCAATTTTGGATGCATCGACAAACTCATCAGTCAAGCGAATTGTCTTGACCTCGTCGTTTGGCGCGGTCCTCGATATGGGACGGGAGGTATCGACTACTTGGACATACACCGCCAACGACTGGAATCCAATCAGATATGACGAGGCAGTAGCCCCCGACGCAACACCGCAGGACGCATATCGTGGCTCGAAGACATTGGCAGAGCAGGAAGCTTGGAGGTTCATTGCAGAGCAGAAGCCTCATTTCGACTTGGTCACATTATGCCCTTCCATGATATTTGGACCGTTGGCTACACCTCCTCGATCAAAGGACGACTTGAACGAGTCGAACATGATGCTATGGCGAGTGGCAACTGGAGGTCCGTCTGGATCCTTGCCTCCATGCCGGTTCAACTTCTGGATTGATGTCAGGGACTTGGCTGAGATTCATGTCATGGCCTTGACGACTCTGCAGGCTGGCGGCAAAAGGTACATTCCCGTGGCTCCGGAGCCATTCACATACCAGAAGGCTTCAGAAACTATTCGGAGCACTTATCCAGATTTGACACAGAAGATTGCGACCGGCATACAAGAAGTCAAAACTCATGTCCAGGTAGACCCTGAGCCGATGATGAAGGATTTCCAGGGGTTGAAGTACACGTCGTTCGAGGAGACAGTCACAGACTTTATGAGCCAGGTCAAGCATCTTCTGTAGAATGTAGGGATAACGATGGTTTTGTATTAATACAAGTTGCACGTCTACATCCGAACCAGGTCCAGGAAAGAGCCACTCTCTCAGTCATTGAAAACTGCGACGATCCATTTCCCTAAGGGCCAAAACCTTTGACTTGCAAAGTTCGCTTCAACCCATGTCAAGTATCTCGCCTCAGGCGTCTCGGAAATGTTGACTGGATTATCATCAGAGTTTATGGCTGCCAGAATGCCGCCTAACAGAACCTGTGCAGTCACGGCATAGATGCTAGGAACTCGGGCGCCTGGGATATTGACGTTGCTTTGAGCAACCGTCAGTGACATAAGTCGGACTAGGCGCCAACCCATCAAACAGGCTTTGAAGCCCACCATAGTCATGAACGGATCTTCAACAATTGCGGATGTCGCATACTCATTGGGTAGGGCCGTAGAGCTAGGGAAAGAACTCCTCGACGAACGAGACATGAACATCAGGATGTTCTCCATGTTGCTTGCGATCCTTGTTACTATCCGGCACGAAAGGTGTCAGCAAAGCTCGCGTGAAGATGATGACCTCTGCATGCTTACCATCTCTATCGTCATAAACATCACGGTGCTGTTTTGACCGAGGCTTGTTCAGTTCCCAGCATGTCGAGATTGCGTTTGGTAGGCTGTACTCGACGATGCCACTGGTTAGAAGAGCTTCTTGATGAGTGAGACTTAATGCCGCGTAATGCCACATGGTCCAGACGCGGTCCCAGCTGGCAGAATTCGTGGAAGAACTTCCAAGGTCGTGGCTCGGCTTGCGCATTAGATCCGCCAGGGAATCCAGGGCTTGCATTATCGGCGCTCGGTTGACTTCTGAGATAATCGATAAGTTGTTCTTGCTTTCTCCTGGCCGGATGTTGTGGTATAAGAAAGACCCCGCCAGTGTCAAATCACGTGTCATCATCAATATCTGGATTATGAGCACCAAGCATGTGAACGACGACTGCCAGAGTAAACCTGGTGGACGACCCCGCGCGGACGGATCGGGGTTCATCAAACGCGCCAGACACCCGTAAAGGTCTCCATGAGCAGGCCGGGGCTCAGCATTAGCATCGTCATCCTCCTCTTCGTTGAAGGACCCATCCTGGGCGAAGACTAGAGCCTGCCAGTCCTCGGCTGTCGTTCCTTCCCATATATCATCTCGGCATGGCAGCTCGTACTTGATCTCGAGAGCTGCCAGGAGCGGTCGCATGTTGCAGCATATCGCCAGCTGAGCGTCCAAGTAGTATAAACAGTATGCGATTCTTCGCTTGGTTAGCTTGCTATGTATAACACTAGAGTCTGAGATCAGCACCCACCGTTTTCTTGACTCATTCTGGATCGCGGCGTGCCAAGCCGACTCCGTGGAGTACGCTGCCGTATGATCGATGCTTGTGGGACTGTTGAAACTCTCGTCCAGCCCAAGAGTAAACCTGTCCTGTAAAAGTTGGTATTGACGTGATGCATCTACAATCTTTCGGTGGATCTTCAGTGCAACCGAAAATCGGCCATCGTCACAGCAATGAATAGCATAGTATTCGAACAGCAAGTAGGCTTGCATAACCCAGACCTCTTGGAATCTAGAGCATCGCCGCTCCCTGACCTGATTGATGCTAGGTCAGTGGAGAGAAGTAGATACCTGGTTTGATGAAGCTTACATATGCATCCAATGCTTTCAGTCCAGAGTCAAACAAGGCAGCACTGCACTCGTGCTTTTGGTCTGGAGATTGATAGACCGCACCAATACAGGCAATTGCTTGCAGTAGCGGTTCTTGAGCAGAGCTGAGATCAAAGGTTGGTGCGTGTATCAGCGGGAATATTGGTTGAAAATTCTCGAAATAGGCTGAAATAAACTGTGGAAGCTTGAACATCCATGAGATGCCTTGATCACATAGTAGTTGGGATATCGAAGAGGACTTTCACAAGTGGGTTAGTACATCTTCTGCAAAACCCTCCACTTGATCTAGTCTTCTTACACGGGTGCTGCTACTCTCACGGCGAGTCGGCCCATGACTGTTCGCAGAATTTGAAAGTGTCTCGACTGGCGGCGCGGAAGGTGGAGGCTGCTCAGCGCCGCTATCTGATCCCGGGTGATACTTTCGTACATGGCGTTTTCTCAGATCACTGAAAGAGGTCAACAACCGGAGGGCTGAGTACGCACTTGACAGGGCGGGATGGGTGGACGGCTATGCGGGATTTACATACCTTCTAGAGAAGCTCACTTCACAGTGGGGGCATGGGAAGGGCCTCAAATTCGACTTTTGATGAACTTCGGACACTCAGCCAAAAAAAGAGCGAGAACAACGCGAAACGTGCATCACTTACCAGAGCTGGTATGGCGACTTAGGTTCTCCTACGGGAAATCAGCATCATCTCTATCATCTATCACAATGGCAAGGCGGATTGGAATTACTTGTCGGGTGAAGCGACTAGGGCACGCTGGGCACTGGAACGGTCTTTCGCCCTTGTTCATCTTGGTCATCTTTTCGGCAGGCATCACGTCTCTCTCGATCGAAAGGCTTGTCAAGTCTATTCACGCAATTGAACACCTGAGATGGTAGATGTGATGTTGTCGTCGTCCTTCGGTCGCATATCACGACACGGTGTTCGGGGACGAAGGCGATAACGACAGCCCCGTGACCTAACGGGATGGAATGATACCGCTAGTGCCTGGCAAAGATAAGAGATTCCACGCAACGACAGTAGAGCGTCATCTCGTAGGTTGCCCCAATGCGAGCCGGGGTTGGGTTGGAAACGCGGAGAGGATTGCTTCCCCGCACCCGGAAGGGGGGCCGGGAGAATGTCACCGCGATGCTGCCCCTGGCATCCTTGCCAAGTTCGAATCAAACCACTCAGAGCGCCTGGATTAGAGCGCGACGGAATTGAACGTCGGTTGCAGCGGGCGTCTTTCCAGGTCCACATCCTCCTTATCGTTGGCCCCATAAAAGGGAGTGAGCCAGGAGGAGCTCCTCCCAAGCGTAACTTTGGCAAGGTTTATTATCCAATCCGGTCTGCCAAAGCAAGTGGGAGAGGATTATGGGCTCCTCCCAAAAGTGCTTTGGGGAGGAGATGCGGGAGGAGTGGCGAGTATGGTGGTTGACAGGAGGAGCGCCTTGCTTTCGTAGTCACCAGACATGATTGTATTAGAATGGCAGCGATTTGCAGATGGTCAGATGCAACTTCCCCAGACGCGGAGGAGCACCAGATGAGCAACAAGATGGACGCATCATGCAAGTGCAAGTGACGGCCTGTGTCCTTGGGTTGCGATGAAAGACGGGTATATCAGAAGCTGGCAGTCGTCGAGGAGATAAGGGGCTTGATGCCGTGAGGACAGTGAACCGATTCGCATCACTCCCAACGATACTCCAAAGAATTGACTAAAGACCTGTGCAACGATGTCTCTCCCTCCCTACACCCCAGCGCCTCCCTCGAAGGAAGACCGTAAGTGCCGTGCCTCGTTCAACCCGTATGTTCTGTCAAGCAGCATTGCTAATCTTTCAATTGGTAGTTGACTATGTCAAGCTTGTAAATCTCGATCTTGCAAAATTCGACGACCCAGTTGGCCGACAAGAACTTGCGAAAGAGCTCTATGAGGCTGCAACAGGATATGGCTTCCTGACTCTTACGAACCATGGCATATCCGATGAAGTCTATGCTCGACAGATGCAGATTGCGAACGCAATGATGACTCTGCCGCCTGACGAGAAGGCACCGTATGAAGGTGAATGGTTCCTACAGTCGTGGCAAAATTTTGTCCATCGCTGACGGGTCCTCCCATCAGTCACCCCCGAAGAAGACGCTCGTGGCCTGTACGTTGGTTACAAGCCAGCTGGTCCACTCGGACACAAAGGCGGCTTCCCCAAGCAGCTGGATCACTACAACATCCTCGTCCATGATCCGAAGAACCGCCCCCACCCAGAGATTATGAGACCCTACCTCAAAGAGACCCAGGAGGTGATGCAGTTTATCCGCACGAATATCCTCAAGAAGCTGTTGACATTGGTGAGCATGATCTTGGAGGTTCCCGATGAAGCAGTGCAGGCGACCCATGCATCCGGTGGCTCCAAGACAGAATACATCAGATACATGATGTGCGAGCCTCGTCCCCAGGAAGAGAGTGAGAAGTACCGTGACATCTTCCTCTCCGGACACACCGACTGGGGCTCTTGGACGTTCTTGTTCTCGCAGCCCATCGCCGCACTCCAAGTTCTGGACCACAACGACGGCAAGTATCGCTGGGTCGAGCACCAGCCCAAGGGTCTTGTTATCAATTTCGGAGAGGCTATGGAGCGCTTGACCGGGGGCTTATTCAAGGCGACCATTCATCGTGTGGTACAGCCACCCGTGGACCAGCGACACCTGCGTCGTATTGGAGTCATCTACTTTGCCCGCCCTGCCGATGATCGCGAGTTGAAGCCTTTGGAGAACTCCCCATTGCTACAACGCCTTGGGCGCGACAAGCCCATGGATGATCGAGTGTTTTGCATGGCTGGTAAGAAAACGTTGAAGCTCGGCAGCTCAATGGACCTTGGCTGACAGTCAACAGACTACCTTGATGCACGGAAGCACGGTTGGAAACGGTATGAGTACGATATCGACCGGCCTATGGACACTGGAAAGCACGCGGACTTCTTCGCTGGGGAGTATCCAGACCCGGAAGGCCATAAGAGCTTGGGAAAGTTTGACAACGTTGCTAGAGAGGTGTACGTGCCCGTGCTAAAGGCGCAGTGAATAATCGTAACCAGCGGACTTGTCCGTTTTAGCATTGAGGTGGCCTTATGAGACATAGGAACTCGGTCATCTTCATAAACTCTTCGTCGAGAAGCAATAAACACCCTTTGATGTAACCTTGAATACATATAGTTATGGTTTGATTCCATTTGAAACGCATATGCAGCCTCAAGTCGGGCTCGAAGATGAACCTCATGACCTTATCGCCACTTAGGCTGAGCACGATTTTACCGAGGCAAACATAACGCGTGACATCAGCAGCGGCTTGTTTGTCGACTGCAGCTGGAATCTTGGCATCTTGGGACTGGAGATAGCAGGCACCCGATTTTGGACAACCAAGAACTATATTTGACACAACCACGGACAGAACACCGCTGTGACGTCTACCTTGCCTCGTTCTTTCAATACTGATCTCGTTTACTCCATGAACTCCCGGAGATCCGTCCTTTCATTCGACATGTTTATCGATGCCACTGTTACTACGAGTGGCTTGGTGGGAGGAGCTCCTCTCGGTGAAGCCCCACTTGATATACTTCTTCCTCACTTCATTGACATGATTGGGTGATCATCAACTCCCAAGCTTATCATTGATGCACGCTAGTCAACACCAAGCTGATGCCAAATTGCCAACACTGTGATTGCGTCTCAGTATCCTATTTGTGTCAGTACCCCGGATTTCGTCCAGTCTCGACGAGTGACAGACATGCAGAGTCTCTTCAAGGGCGGGGCACCAAGGAACATCGGAGTCCTCGGCTGATTGCCTTTTTCAGTGCCATGACAATCTCCTGCTTCCCATGAGACCAGCCAAGAAGATAAGTCTACTATTGACAGATGCTACGGTCTTGGAGTGATAACGCACGACGCCCTATATCTTGAGATAGGAGATCTACTTAAGACCTCGGACTCAGCTGAATTTAAGGAAGGTCGATCTCATGCACCCAGTCTGAACGAACAACACCACCAATTCCGTGAAGAATAGCCCAACAAGGGCATCACGATTAACCATCATGTCGCCGTTTTCGGATTTGCGACAACACTTCAAGGGTGCATCAACACCCCAGGAGAAACGGCTTGTCTTGAAGTTAGATTTCTTCATTCTGACCTTCTGCTGCTTAGCATACTTTATGTGAGTAATCACCTCCTCCAATATGATCAGGCAAATGCTAATATCCGACGGAACAGGAACTATCTAGACAGAGCTAGTATTACACAAGCTTACGTATCTGGAATGAGGGAGGATTTGGGATTTAAAGGTGCCCAGCTTACGGAAGTTACAACACTTTATGCGACCGCATACCTCATGTCAGTTGACAGAAGTTCTCGTCCCAAGCTCTCACAAGACACATGCTAAATTTGGTGTCTAACACAGTGGGATTGTCCCAAATAATTTGCTCTTGACTTACTTTAAGCCCAAGAGGTTCTTTCCTTTCATGATCACGACATGGGCGATTATCACCATACTAAATGCGGTTGCAAAGACCCCTCAACACATGATGGTGATTCGCTTCTTTCAAGGGTAGTATTTCTCATACAAGCACTCCTTTACAATCACATACTAAACTTATATCGTTGTAGATATTTCGAGTCGTGCATCTTTGCCGGCACACAGTACATCCTCGGATCATGGTATACGAAGAAAGAATTAGGACAAAGAACGGGACTTTTTACTGCAAGTGGTTTGGCTGGGGGCATGTTTGGTGGTTTCCTTCAGACGGCTATCTACTCCTCCATGAATGGCCTCCACGGAATGCCGGGATGGAAGTGGCTCTTCATCGTCAGTACTTTTGCACCTCAATGATGAAAGCGACACTGACAGAACCACATCAGATTTCCGGAATTATCACTCTGCCTGTTGCCATCTACGGCTATTTCTTCTTCCCAGACACGCCGAGTACCACGGCAGCTTTTTACCTTAGCGAAGAAGAGATCAAGCTTGCCCAGGAACGAGTTCCGATTCGTGAGGAGGGAGAAAAGATTCTTACCTGGTCCTTTATCTCCCGAATCCTGCACTCGTGGTATTTCTACGGTTTCTGCTTCTTATGGATCCTCGGCAACACCTCCGAGTCCCAGTCGAACCAGTCTCTCCTCAACCTCTACATGCAATCTCACCCCACGGAGCATTACACTGTATTTCAACGCAACAATTATCCAACCGGCGTGCAAGCAGTCGGTGTTGTCAGTACTCTGCTGTGGGCGACTAGTACCGACATTTGGGGCCGGAGGTGGCTGTCCGGTTACTACGTCGCTTTCACGGCAATAGCGAACGCTGCTATCATCCTGGCGCCCACGTCGACTGCAGCCAAGTTTGGGGCCTACTACTGGGCAGGGTCTATTTACTGCATTCAAGCAACGTTCTTCGCGTGGGCGAATGACTCCACGCGGAACGAGTCCCCTGCTCTTAGGGCTTGCGTGATTGCCTGCATGAATGCGGCGGGTAACTGTTTTCAGGCATGGTGGCCGCTCATCTTCTTCCGAGCAGATGATGCGCCCCAATTTAGAGTGAGTAGTCAGGGGCATGCATGTGTTTCATCAAGAGTCCTCAACTGACATATTAAACAGAAAGGAATGATTGCGATGATTGCAGTTGGCATTGCAATGATGATTTGGGTCACCGTCCTCATTTTCATGGATAGGAGGCTTTCCAAGAAGCAGATTCAGGTTATTGAGGCTGTTGACGCCGACAGCCATGCAGAGGCAGGGCTTAGCGCGATCAAGAATGTTGACAGCAGAGATAAGGGCTCGACAGACAAGTAAAAATGGGCGGCTTGGGACCAATAGGATATCCTCCGTGTATCGTATCAAGTTTGCAGTCCTGGGTCTGTTCAGCCCATTACCATCTGCTTTGTTTTCATTTGTTCCAAGCTGAATGCGCAGCTTGCCAAACACTCTGTGTGGCTGGTGTATGCCCCAGCTTTTTAGGCAGGCAATCGTAAGCCGACCAGCCATTGCTGTTCTTCATTGTCCCTAGCCGCATCCACTCGATACTAACCGACGTTCAATCATTGGACTGTTCGGTTGGGTTTCCCAGAAGAGCTGCTAATGATACCATACTTCTCCACTAGCAATTCATCAGCTACCTACTTCGTACACGGGCACCGGCTAAGGCACTTTGACAGGGTATTTGAATGCACTAGTATGCTCATTGTTTATGAGAAAAACTTGTGAAGGATTCGCCTAAACTTACTACCTAGGCTGCTTTGCCCTACGTCAACAGTCTGCGCGTTCCTAAGTGTCTTCTCAGCGTGCTCTTTGCTGAGTACCAACTAAGCCCAATCATCACAATCCAAGAGGCCACATCATTGCAGTTCCATTATCGGATCTAACTACGCAGCCTTTGAAGCTGCTCAGATATTTGCGAATTTTCCGCACCAGCATAAACGGGTATATCCTACTTCTGAGACCTATGGTATGTACAATAAATGTCTTCAATAACCTGTACAACTTTGCACATCTATGATAATGCATCGTGACTTTCCCAATGTGAGGGGAAAGCATGCTCCACGAATACAAGCTGACAAAGTTTATTGCAGGATTGCGAGATTGTCTCTCTTTAATCCTTGTTAAAACTGTGCGTCAACAGTATTTAGTTTCCTTCGAGCTTCAACTAGAAAGCTTCGAAGATGCCGCTCAAAGACGTGGCCGCTTTCTACGCAAGCTCAATCAAACCTCCGAGTACCTGGGTCGCAGTTTCGGGCATCTCAGCCCTAGTAAGTCGCGACAAAACTGTCTATGCCACTTAAACTCATCCACAAATCACAGACTGTAGCATATTTGGCGTCCGTGTGCATTTACAATCTCTTCTTTCACCCTCTTGCCAAGTATCCGGGCCCTCGCCTCGCTGCTGCAACCCCTTTATGGCTCGTATCGGCTATCATTGGAGGCAGACAGCCCGACGATACTCTCAAGCTGCACGAGAAGTATGGGCCCGTCGTCCGAACCTCTCCGAATGGTCTGTCTTACAGCGACGCTCCTCAATGGAAGGAGATCTACACACCCAAGGCGGGGCAGCTCGAGTTTGCGAAGGACCAGAAATTCTTCGCCGGATTCCGGGGCAGGCACCTTATTCTCAACGCTGACAGACGTTACCATCCTTTCATCCGTAAACTACTTGCACCCGGCTTTTCTGAGAAAGCTATGAGAGAGCAAGAGGGAGTGCTGAAAGAATTTGTCGACCTCATGTTTCGGAGAGTGCAGGAAGACGGACAGAATGGCACGCAGCCAGTGGATATCCTGAAGTGGTTCAACGTGCGTGCTCTTGCCGGTCATCGAGACGTATGCTGTGCTGACCTGGATTTAGTTCCTGACTTTTGACTTCATCGGCTTTCTCAGTGAGTCTACCTCAAGCCAAGTCGCTCTTGGCCCTCATTATCTGACTCGGCCACATCAGCTTTTGGGCAGTCGTTTGATTGTCTGATAACATCTACTCTCCATATGTGGGTGAAGATGTTCCTGTCTTTGGCCAAGTTCTTCGCTTACTACCAAGCGATCTCTTACTTGCCACTCCTGCTTCGTTTCCCGGTAGGGCTGTGGTTGTTTCCACTCAAGGTCCTCTCGGATGCTAAGACCCTGACACGGCTTCAAGAGGTATGTGTTCTACAAGTGCTGTAGGGTGGGTGCAAGCGGCTAAGGGAAGTCCAACAGGAAAAGGTCAATCATCGTCTTGAGATACAGCCGACGGTGCCGGACTTTATGGACAAAATGATTGCGGCCTACAAGTCAGGCAAGATGTCTTATGACCAACTGGAGGGTAATTCGCAGCTTCTGATTGCCGGCGGAAGCGAGACAACCTCTACTCATTTGGCAGGTGAGTTGTGCGGTGCTGGTCGGCTTGACAGCAATAAGCCCCAAGAACCCCCGCTAATCCGACTGAAATCGTAGGTCTCGTTTGGCTCCTTATGACGAACCCCCGGGTCTTGGAGAAATTGTCCGCTGAGATCCGCACGGCCTTCGCGCACGAGGGTGAAATCACTTTCGCTGGCGTCAACGACTGCAAATATCTCCTAGCTTGTATCGAGGAAGGTCTTCGTATCTACCCGCCGTCACCTCAAGCACATAATCGCATCGTACCTCCCGGTGGTGCTACCATCGACGGCGAGTTCATCCCGGAAGGTGTGTCTGTTGGTGTACATATATATGTTGCAAACAGAAGTACTGCCAATTGGACCCGTCCGTACGAATTTATCCCCGAGCGCTGGCTGGGAAAGGATCCCGAATTTGCTGGCGATAAGCGAGACGCTTCTCAACCTTTCCTGTTGGGCCCGCGGATGTGCGTTGGAAGAAACCTGGCCTACGCCGAGATCAAGGTTATCATCGCTCGGCTCGTCTGCCAGTTCGACATCGAAAATGTGACAAAAGAAGACTGGATGGATCAGAAAGTTTTCATGGCTTGGGAGAAAATGCCATTGTGGATCAAGTTGCATCCTGTTCGGAGGTAAGGAAACCACCTCAGGATTCTTCCAGAGTACCTAGTATCTTGGGTTACTTTACGCCTCGAACATGGTTCCATAGAAAAATCAGACTGGGACATATGAAGAAGTCAGACAGGCTTTCACTTCCCTGTGTCGTTGACATCTAATTTTGGATTTACATCGCTTCGTCTACTCTCTGCTCGAGCGTAGCTACAACCTGATCACATTGCCATCCTCAATGCAAGCATCTTGCCAATATCCGGAGTGCCCAAACCCGTGACAGCGTCCCAGCCCGGAGCAGTGGGCCAAGACGCGTTTGGCACAAGTTTGGCCCCAAACTGAGGCGGGAACTGCTGACTTCCAAAAGCAGTCGTCCCCGTGCATCCAGTGGAAGCACCAACTTTCACGTCATTAATGGCTTGGAGTCCAGCGCCATACAGCCATGGGTTGATGAAGCCCATCGGAGGTTTTCCGGCTTGGATGAGAGCGGCATTCACCATACCAACCGTGCCAGCCCAGATCGGTGCCGCTGCACTCGTCCCTTGGAAGCCGCCAAGCTGACCACCGGTAAAGAACGTCGCATTGAAGCTTTGGGCGCTGACGTCTGGGAAGCCTCTGCCCGACGCATTGAAGAGGCCCTGAAAGTTGTTGCCTACCGTCTTGAGGTACGGAGGAACAGCTTGGTCTTGGTATGCTGGCCTGGCGAACTTGTCCGAAAATCCACCGCTCGAGAAAGGAAACGCTTGTTCAGGAGCTACGTTCTTTGTTCCACCGACGCCGGTGACGAAGGGGCATACCGCGGGGAAGACTGGGTTGAAGCGTGTACTGGCGGTGCCGTCGTTGGTCACGCAAGTATTTCCTGGCCCAGAGTCTCCCGAAGCAGCGAACATGGTGACGCCTCGAGCACCAAGGGCACCGAACTGATTGCAAATCTGCTGAATGTAGCCGTCAGGCAGGGACTGTTCGTTCTCGCCAAAGCTTGTGGTTATAGTATGAGGGAGCTGATCATCAGGAAGCTTGAGCATGGCATCGAGCCAGATGAGCCATGGCTCCGTGGTGTCCCCAGGTTGACCTCCCAACTCCAGCTTGATGGGGCCATCACCAGCGACGGCGGTGACAATGTTCGGTACGGGGTTCGAGAGAGATGCAGTGTACTGCATGTCAAAGTTCAACTCGGCATTCGACAACTGATTCTGATCCTGGCTTGTGACGCCGCCATTGATGCTTAGAAAGGAGAAGTTGACCCCGGCGGACGGCGGGTCGATATTCTTCGCGAAGAGGGCGAAGTCTGCGAATTTTGGGACCTGGCTTTGCGAGGCATATACACCGAGACCACGAGCTTTGCTGACAGGCACATTTGCAGGAACGTTGTAGAGTGCTCTGACGCAGCTGGGTGTGACGGTTCGGTTGCACGTCGCGTCAACTTGGGCTCGGGACACTGACGGTGGGGGATCGACGGCTGCGGCTGATCTCCACAGGGGCTCGTTGGTCACCCCAGAGAAGGCTCTCTTGTGCTTGCGAAGCTCGTCGGATGGTAGCGCATCGTCGATTCCGGGAGCTTGAGGTCCTTGATGCATCATCGGATGCGAGCAAAATCGTGTCGTCGGGGATATTAGCGATATCTTGGCCTTCAACTCCAACGGCAACGAATACTCAAGGGTCCTCAAGACCTCTTTACCACTATCGGCATGCTTGAACCAAGAATAGTTGGCGCCTAGCAGTCTGTTGGCTTTCTCAATCGTAGTGGTAACCCGGATCCAGTGGCCGTCGCTTGCAATCGCGGATTGATCGAGACGTCCCTGATTCAAGAGCCAACTGACCACCATATCCCGAGACCCATCGTCAGGCATGAGAAGGGCTTGTGCCTCCTCCCTCGAAAGATGCTTCCCATACAACTCATGGCCGGGTGTCGACACACTATACAGGGCCTTATGTACGTGATCGGTTCGATCAACGGCTATAGACAGTTGGAATTGATGTTGAGGATCGGCGAGTCGTGATTGCGTCCATCCTATCGGTAACTCCTTGATGTATTCGACCTGCACTTGTCTGGATGGAAGTGCCTCGATGAGAGTGGCGCATAAGAAAATAATTACTGATGATACCAGCATCTTGAAGGATCGGGTCGTGCCCGGCACAGTAGCCCGAGACGAATTAGAGAATGCGCGGAAAAGGAACGAGCGCCGAATCAGTGTCAATGAACGGGATGAGAAAATCAGACAACACATATAATAAGGACCTCCATTGAAGATTAAAAACTATAGGGAAATTCACCCGTGCCATTCCGCGTGGGGCCTGCGCCGCGCGCATGTTTCGCAGCTCGCACGTCTCGGAGTCGACAGCAAAATCCTGAGAAAACTCAATTTGGCCCAAGCCAACGATCGCGAAAGTCGCCGGTGGGATGCGAACAAACGTCTTCCAGAACCCCACAACAACGCTCGCGGGCGCGATCTTTGTCATCTGACATTGGGAGTCTCAGAACATCAGCGCCGATTACCTGACAAGGGGTTCGTCGATCCATCGGATGGACGGTTCATGCGTGCCTGCGCTGTTGTGAGCAGGCGAGTATTGTTGTACTCGGACCTCCCGATGCGATGGCAACGTGCCTGGCGCTAGACCCCGGAGTTTAAGGATGTTCCCGCCCACATCATGTTCGAGACAGTGGCGCGGCAAACATTATGTGTCCCCAGATCCAACCCTTGAATTGCCCCACAGTATTTCGTCGGGTTCCAAAGGTACCTTAGGTAGGTAGGGATCCTTATTGCCCACGATTTGGAAGCCTAAGCACAGGAACATTCATCTAATGATTAAGCGGCGACTAAGCCTCCCGCGGATTCCACGGATCAGCTGATTTGCTGCACTCAAGTGCCCTTCGGATCTAGACTGCACTGAGCTCAGGGTTGACATTTGTCGTGACATACGACTCAGTCGACGCTAACTGTTACGGCACCTGGATGCGCAAGGAAACTCACCTCTCGGCCTAGACAGCAATGAGCACATGATGATTTCGATGTCGTTGGCATGCACGCAACTCAGTCAGGTTACTGTCGATACGTTGATTTGGTATCACAACCCGGCGTTAATCGGAGAATAGAGGAACTGGCTAGTCGTTCGGGATATTTAAGCTTTCACTACGCCCCTAGTTGCAGCATAGTACGCGCAATTTGTGTAGTCTTTCCGCAGCTTAGCGGACTTGCGACGAGGAAGGTCCCTGTTCTCGCCCAACTCTAAACCTATTGATGGCTCGGCAACGGTGGCCTCGATGGGATTTCGGACTCAAATTCCACTGTGTCTCGATTTATTTGATAAAAAAGGCTTCTTCCGAAGTCTTCGCGTTTCGCTTGGCGGGCCTTCGGGCGTTCTTTGATTGCTATCTTGTTGGCCCGAACATCAACGCGAATACGATATCCACAATTAGATGTTTCCTAGCTCAAATTCTTCCGTCGTTTGCAAACGACTCGGCCTCATTTTTGGGCTCGTTATAGGCCAAATAACGTCCGCGGAATTACGTTGGGTGAGTGCTGGCCTTGTTGCGATTTACTTCAGGAATTCGATACTCGCTGCCCCTCTCCCTCCTGACAGTTGCCCAGAAGTCATATCCTCGGTCTCTCATCCTTGTCTTCCGCTCCTCCCTCTCCCGATTGTCGATTCGCTGCCGCCGGCGTTCCCTCCTTTTCTCGGGAACAACCTTCTTAACGCCTGACGACGCGAAAACGATAACCTTCTTGCCGCCCTTGTATCCACTTCGCACGACCTCCTGAACACGTGAACTAAAGGCGCCAACAAGCGCGGCTACGATGAGGAAGATAGAGACTGGCAATGAGATTGCCCCAATATCTCTCAGCGAAGGAAGAGTGCCTTTGTCACTATCCCAGTCGGTGGTGTTCATGCCGAAGAGGCCCGTGAAGAATGACAACGGCAGGAAAATGACGGTAAACGTCGTGAAAATCATAACCGACAAGTTTTGTGATGATGCGAGCTCGGTTTGGAGACGGGACCAACGGACTTCGTCTACTTGAGCCTGACGCTGAACCATTTCGAGAAGTTTCTCGTACTGTGAAATTCATATAAGCAGGTGCATAGGTAGAATTTCAAGCGTTTGTCACAGTACTCACATCGTTGCGTGTTGTATCTACCCGTTTCAGCATCTCAGCCGTCTGACTTCGGTATTCATCCAACTTGCCAAGAGCCTCCTCAAGGTACATCCTCCCATTCCGGGTCTGCATCTTCAGTTCTTCGCTCTCAAATATGTTCTTCATGTTTTTGACTGCTGCATCCTGCGCTTCGAAGAGTCTCTCGAGCGATTTCAACTCGTCTTCCAAGTCTCGGAGCTCCATGAGTGCGGACGTGTTTTCTCGATTCTCGCGCTCAGCCTCTTGAAGCTCTCTCTTATGACGCTTCTTGATAGACTCAGGTCGATTGCTTTCCGAGTCGGAATCTACGCCTACATCTTTGAAAGTCTGCATGCGAAAGCGCTTCAGTGAAGAGGTCATGCGTTCGGTCTATACTAGTCAGCGAGGGCTATAAATGGAAGATGACAGAAAATGGTACTCACAAGCATGCTTATCGCCTCCTCAAAGATTCTAAAGATCTCCAAGTCAGGATGCGAAGCTCGATCGAGCAGTACGGTGACAGCGTGTAGGACAACGAATGCTGCCAGGTCCAGTGCATTTTCGCAACGACCTGTCAAGTCGCCATTGAGTTCGTTGTAGACACTGTTTCTCAAGTCTGCTTGACCGAAAAGAGGGCCCTCCTTTGCCTTAGATTCTCTCTTCGAGAAGAAGGTCGTCAAGGTTTCTATTGACCCGTTAACATCATGGTCAGTCAGTGCGCTACTCCCATAAAAACTCACTTTTGTCAATGGCCCATAGCCATAGCTGGTCGACCATGAGAACCTTTCCATCTTTGATAACCTCTTCCAGATCCTCAGTCTCATCATCGATGTCACTTTCCTCTTCCAGAAGTCCAGTGCTTGAAGGCGACAGCCTGTCAAATGGACTCCCGGTGGACCCAAGGGTCTGCCTCCTCGTTAAGGTCATCACTTCCCGGTTAACACCACCAGAAGCCCGGTCTTTAGTCAGCTTGTAGAGCATCTGGTCATCATCGCGCGCCCACGTATCTCTCAGCGACGGGTACGCGAACTGGTCTAGCGTGCGGCGGTAGTTCAGTGGAGGGTCGTAGCCAATATACTCCCATATCATCCTCAACTCTGGGGACTCGAGGCCAGCTATTTCGCGGGGGACGGGACGTGCCCGACCATGTTGCATACGACGCAGGATAAACTTTCTCCGTTGAAGAACGTCGATGTAGGTGTCGAAATGGAGATAAGGCATGTACAAGTACAGGTAAGATGATGACGGCCCAGCTGCTGGGCTGACGCGACCAGAGAGATTGGGTGATGGGTGTGGAGAAGGAGCTGGAGATCAGGTCAGTTCTGATTATCATGCTTATTAACAGCTATCGGGGTTCTACCTGAACCAGCGGGTATATAGCTGCAAGTCGGCTTCACGAAGGATGCTTGTGACTGAGAGTGCCTTCCGATGACATGTTTTGCCGTCCAATTATCCTTGTTGAAAACCTTTGCAAAACTTGGATCATGGGGATTGGCAAGCACTCTGAACACCTCCTGAAATTAACTGGTCAGAGAGAATCCCACGCATGATTCTTTTGAACGCACCTTGACCCAGGAGGGATTCGTGTAAGGGGTATGGATCCACATGAACTTCCTCGCCAAAGGATCGGGCCTTGAGAATCCAGCAGCTGCTGTCAAATCGTCCATGGCCGAGACATGAGACTGCCTATCTTGACGCCTGGATAAAGGTTCTGAGTGGCTCTTTTCGACACCGATCTCCGCAGCCGGTTCCAGTCGTGAACCAGGGTCTGGCGTTTTGGGCGACAATTCCAACTCTGTCGGATCAGATCTCGTACTCTCAGCGTTACTACTTCTACTCGAAGGGCGGTTGAATCCTGGCGGCGACAAAGGTGGGACAGTAAGGGATCCCATCCGCCTCATCGTATCAACTGGCAAAGAGTTGGAGCCTCCAGCTATGGGAGGCCTCGTTACAATAATTGGCGGTGATCCTTGGCTCTCCGAATCTGAAGTTCTTGGTCGGCTCCCGGCGTTCGAGGATGCTTTGAATAGCCTGTTTCCTAATTCTTGCAATCCTGGCAGAATACCAAGGCCACTGCTTTGCTGAGAATCCTCTTGACTTTGTGATTGAGAGACAGGGTCTGATCGCGGCCGAAGTGTCGTTCTCCTTAGACGCTCCTCCAAACATCTCTCTGGGCCCTTTTCCAGAAACTCCTCAAGATGAAGTTTCGTAAAGTAAAGTCGGACATCAGACTCCACTTGCGCATCCGGATCATCGTAAAAGCCAATGATCTCAACCTTCACGTGCTTCTTGAGGCTAAGAGGTGTGTGGATGTACTCAGAGCTGAGATCGGTGGCCTTTTTGACCGCGGCAGCAAGTTCCGTCAAGTAGCTGCCCATGATTTCGGTGTTTCCTTGTCCAAATGATGCGCAGTTGGCGTGTTCACTATCGAGTGCAAAAACACGCTCTTGGCGGGCGCCGACGAGTGAAGACTTGATCGAGACAATGGGAGCACCAAATCGGACTTCCTTGGCAGTGCCGTGGTTTTTCGACCCTGACCCGGAAAGTTGGGAGTCGATTGTCTCATAAAATGTCCAAATCCTCAGCTCACTTGCAATAGTTGCAAAGTCCTCGTGCATCCGCAAGAGTGGTTTGTGGCCTAGTCTAAGTTCATCGGAGATAGAATGCGGCAAGGGACGTTGAAGCCTCAACAGGCGTTGAATGCTGTCTTTCAGGTTGTTCATAGAAAGATAACTTGATCCACGATGCGGAGTAGCTGAGGGAAAATTATCAATAGGCTGAATCATACGAGAGGTTGATGGGACTCACCAAAGAATGTGGCGCCATGGCAGTTGTACATAAAAGGCTTGTAGTGTGGATTCTTGGTGGCTCTCAGAAGAGCCAACTCGACCACCAAACCTCCAACACTATGTGCTACGAAGAATAGGGGACGAGATCGTTGCTAAACACCATTCAGTTCTGTTCAAACCCACGAGATAAGTGTCACTCACATTCCCGTATCTGACGCTCCAAACCTGCTCGATCAAGTCGTCCGCCAAGTCTTCCAACGTCACCCCTTCAACCAACTCTCGATGCCGATAAAGCAGCACTCTGGCCTCGCTGACCTCTTTCCTAATACCCTGCCGCACCCAAAGATGCGCTGCCTTTGGGAGATGTCGATTGATCGTCGGAGATAGTATGCTCGCCCCGGCAAGCTGCTTCACGGCAGTGGGCGGCAAATCCTCACCGGGTCTCCCGAAATATCCCTCCGGAAGTAGGTCGCGGGCCCAAGTCTCGACGGGATCGGCGCCGGGACACGGAACGCAAACAATGTCAACCAAGGTATCATTGTAACCAGGTCCATTTACATCGCCATCGATATGTGCGAAGCCAGGACTCGGGTCCCAGTGCGAGGATCCGCTGTGCGGTCGTGGCGTTTCCGGTTGTTCATAATGTGTCTCCTCTGACGTCTGGTGTAGGGTAGAGTCGCGTGGTCGGACGCGATCCGGGCTGTCGTCTACAGCGGATGCGACCTCATCTAGGGCCGCAATTTCCGTCTCATGTGTCCAATCTTTTGACGGCTCCATGATGCATTGGTTTCTTCAAAACATCTATCTCGTCGCAATATGTCGCAGGAGAGGATAAGCAAGAAAATGAAGAGGCTGAAGCCTGTCACGAAATTACGCCTGTAGCGGATATGGCCGGCGCAAATATGCCCCAGAGCTGATGAACACCCCGGTCCATTTTGGTCATCGGTCGCGTAGGCATCAGCCAGCCGCCTATTGCTAATGCACCTCAATCGACCAACAGGGCGACCAACCCCGGTAGCTTCGCCTGCAGGTTGACCACCAGTTAGGCGTTTTTAGTGAGATGTGTGTCTGTGAAGTCTCGGCAAAAGTGCCGATCAACTCTCAACTGCGTGAGACGGAAGACTTCCAGCTTCCTCAATAGGAGAACAGCGACTGAGACTCTTTGAAACTTCGCCTTCAATTCAGACACCGCCGTCTTAGTTTCGCGTCGTACGACTGCGGACAATAGAAACGCCTCACCCGCCCTTTCAGTTGGTGCTAATTGAGGCTGACGGGAGACACCCATCTTAGTCACAGCCGCCGTCGCATTTTTGGTGGCTTTATTGACCAGGTGACGGGCCGAAGCTGACCAAGAGGATCTAGCGTCGCCGATCCGTCTGCAAGTCACCTCGTGTCACACGCAATGTGGATGGGTGACTTGCTGCAGATGTCAGGCTGAGCTGCGGTTTGCAAGTCGTTCCGCAATCCGATTAAATATCTGTCTTTCCTCACGTTGGAAATAAGAAGTGGCAATTTGTTGGTTTCTTCATTTTGACAGCAAATCGCACCGTCATAGCTCAATGGTTCACAACGAAGCAATTCAAGGCGTGGTTCTTGAAACCGACACCAATCAAAAGAAACGCCGGGCTCTTGCGCAGTGCCAGAGAGCGAGAGCAAAATCGAGTCAACCCAAAAAGATTCATATATGCAATGATCGATAGCTAGAATAATTAAGTCGGGCTAGATTATGGTGACTTTGGTTTACGTTTTAACAATGATACACCTTCAACAACATGGCAGCAGTTCAGCAACAACTTTGATTAAATAGACTGATACCCGTGGACAGCGCATTCAATTCGTATCCACAAAAAAACGATCTCTTAGCAGTATCAGGTATCCTCAACTTTGATACATTTTCTTTGCGTCTGAAAATACCCCGGATTTACGGGCTAGACATGCGTCAGAACCGCAGTTCATCTCGTTCACTCTCCTACGTTGCCACCTCATCTCAGCGGTTTCGTCCAATCTTCTCGGCTCCGTGCCGGATCGATGAGGGTTTGGAAGGCGAAAGTGGTGAGCTATGTGACCTGAAAGCAGCTATGAAGTGCTACTCGCATTGACAAAACCAAGACCTCGGCAAAATCCTCCGGGGCAGGTTTGCCGTATGAGATACCAAGAGTCGTCGCATCTTCGGCCGTTGATGTATCTGTGCGCAGCTGCAGCCAAGCGGGTTCTCTCCGTTGACCAGAGACGTACGTAGGTGAAGAGCGTCAAAAGGCCGTTCATTCGGTCTGTGTATGGGGTTCAACCACTCGACAGCGCGTCACAGCGCCAATTTTAGAATGACAGTATTTCGCCCGTACCCCATGCCCCTCCCGAGTTTCGTATCGTCTATCACTTCTGTTTCTTTTTCGACTTGACAACATCGTTTAATCTTAAAGGCGCCTAGAGAGGTGACATTTTCGGGCATCACTCAAAATCTTATTGACTAGACGCATGCCGATTCAGATGAAGATTTGCCGAGAGCTTGTTTGAACCATCTTCGATTTCCCCAATCCCTTCTGAATCTCTGCGCAAATGTCGGCCGCGGACCTAGACTCGAATGCGTGGTATATCGTCACTTCACAACGCTACGTCAACGTCTCCCAGCCCATCGATTCCTGTCTGCAACTCACAAGAGATGGCCCAAGAGTATCTTCATGCGATGAGAAGCGCTTCATGGCGTGGCAGTTCGAGCCGGTCGAGTCCAAGAAGGGGCGGTATGTGATGAGGATGAATGCAACAAGCGTGCGACAACAGCTCTCTGTGTGTTGGGACTCCGATGAAACAGATGATGGAAAGACAGTTGGATGCATGCGAAGGACGAACGCCGAAGACCCTCAGCTATGGGACATTGTCGACAGGGGAGACGGCACATACGACTTTCTCAACGCTGCAAACGGGACCGGCCGTGTCCTCGATGTCCATCAAGGCTCCAACCTATTTATGGCGAGCAAAGTCGAAGGGACCGGCGACAACAACAGTTCTAGTTCTGCTCAACGATGGATTATGACAAGCGATAGGCCTGTCAACAACCGCGTTTACTCAACTGTTTACCAGTCGGAGGTAAGCAGCAAGCTGTGATCCTTCGCGCAGCTTCAAGCAGTGGGTGATGAAGGACCTCGCTAATTCTTGCAGCCCACATTCTTTCCACCGATACCTGGGTTTCCCACCGGCCCTAACGGTCCCATTGGTCCCAACGGAGACATTTCGCGGGCCGGTCTCTCGTCAAGCGCGGCAGCGGGCATCGGTATCGGAGCTGCTATCGGTGGCATCGCTCTGGCGGGGACTGCAGCTTTATTGTGGCGAAAGAGGAGATCCCCCAAGAACGTTATCACAGACCAAGAACCGCAGTACCAAGAAGTCGAGCGCGAACGCGCTTATAGCCCAAAGCCCCCGAACTACATGGAGAGTCAACGGGCGGCTGAAGCAGAAGCGAACCAAGTATTCGAGGCGCCATACGAGGATCCAGTTCATGAGGTACCAACTGACGACCTTGCCAACCGCCACGAACTGCCCTGAGCCTGTGGATGGAGGACTCCACAACGGAGTCAGAGGGAGGTGGGTATTAATCATAAATTGTTCTTTTAAAGGCGTCGGGTCGCCATCACATATTACCACAACTGTAATCTAGTAAATAATCCAGACAGGAACTGGCGGAGTACGGTAATACATTCTTGTTCAAAGAGCGATTAGCACGCGTGATCAGCTGTCAGTTTGGCTGGTCTCTAGGCACGACCATCCACTGTAACCTGGGCCTTTCGGCGTGCTCCCCCGGAACTCCGAACATGATCGGCGAGAATGCCGATGACGTGGGAAATTGTGTTTCATGACAGGAAGACATTGATGAAGATCCAAGACCAAGGTCAATGAGAGGTTGATATGAGTATTAAAATGATCAGACTAAGATTCTCAAGAATTGGCCTTGAGTGTGTGTTGAGAGGCTTCCGGTGTCTTCGCATCGAGGAGTCGGTGAAAAGGCTCGGATTGTGAGGGCCGACCTCGATGCGAGATAGGTACGTATCTTTCACCCCACTATGACGGGGTCGGCTTGAAAGCCGGACGCGGGGTCCTTCAAGACGCGGGGCAGTTCGCAAACGCGAGGAGCTCATCGATGACAAAAGCTCGAACATAAGAGGCTCATATCCCATTGCCTAAGATAGCACACGACTATCGTAGCATTGCAGCTCAACATCCAATCCGTTAATTATCTTGAAAATGGCTTCCTGGTCCGAGAAAAAGTCACAAAACCGCACCCTGCAGATTCTCGACGCTGCTACCAAGGGGCAATATGGCGTTCTCGGTGTCGTCATGTAAGCTCTTCGTTGTTGTCTAATAAGAGCTTGAAAATGCCTAATCATAGCCCAGCTACAATATCGAGCAGCTTACTGCTGTGGTTAAAGCGGCCGAGGCAAAGAAATCGCCCATCCTGATTCTGCTATTCCCCTCAGCTGTGACGCAGCTCCCCACTCTCGCTTGGGCCGTAGCGGCAGCCATCAATTCATCCAGCGTACCAATCGCGTTGCACCTCGACCACGCCCAGGATGAGAACCAGATCAGAGAAATTGCCGGCAACTTGCCGTTCGATTCTATCATGGTTGACATGAGTCACTACGATCACGAAGAGAATTTGGCCAAGACTAAAGTTCTCACCCGCGTCTGCCACGACCACGGCATCGCGGTTGAGGCCGAGAGCGGACGCATCAACGGCGGCGAGGATGGCATAGCGGACACCGGTGATCTGGAGGGTAAGGCGCAAAATCTGTTTCATGTTCAGACAGCTAGCTGACTTGTCCTTCTGGTAGCTCTTTTCACCAGTCCCGAGGAGGTGGAGGACTTCATCAATGCCGAAATCGACCTTTTGGCCCCCAGCATCGGCAACATCCACGGCGACTACGGCCCTAAAGGTCCCCAGCTGGATTATGAGAGACTTGCCAAGGTCAACAAGCAAATCGACAAACGCGTGTTGATGGCACTGCACGGAACGAACGACTTCTCTCCTGAAATCATGAAGCGCTGCATCGAAAACGGCGCGATCAAGCTGAACGTGAACAAGCTGCTACTAGAGGCCTGGAACGTCCATCTCAAGCAGAACGTAAACAAGCCGTTTACGCAACTGATTGAGGACGGCATAGAGATATTGCAAAAGGAAACTGAAAGGTGGATCGATATTTGTGGCAGTGGAGGCAAGGCGTAGTAGGTAGTGCGCTGGCCAGTACATTCAATACAACTAGAACGTAGGAAAGAAAGGAAGAAACATAACATGCTCAGCTAGGTAGGTACCTGCCTAAACATGTATGATCGGGACGGTGAGGACATTGCAAAGGGAGCCATTGATAGATAGATAGAGATGTTGGACAAGCAACAAAAATTTACCAAAAAGAGACCATGCGGCCAGTGTGGATTGAACACACGACCTTCAGATTAAGTGAATGAAGTTAACTTCAGTCTGACGCTCTCCCAACTGAGCTATGTCCGCCGCTAGTTGTTGTTGAATTACGAGGTCGCAATTGAGATTATGGATCATTGCTAGGGCTGCAAGCCCTACGAGGTGTTGGGCCCACTTCTTGCGACCAGATGGTCTCCATGGCCGACCAAGCGACGTGGAAGCAATCTAAGCTGGGCTAAAGATTGTATCGGTTCTTTCTCTCTCTGTAATAGGTATAAAACAACCAACTTCATGAGTTTCCCGATAGTATGTTCAAATGACTGACTTGAAAGACAGATTGTTGACAGCGCGGTCATGAACGCAGTCTCCACAATTCATGCCTTCAACTCATCCATGAGTCCATCAATATTAAGTCTTGACCACCACTCAGAGTCACTTTCAATACAGTAACTATTGACGTCGTCTTGAATTTTGGATTATTGGTATGGTGGTGGGTTGATGCTACCTGATCGACGAGCTTCGCGAAAAGAACTCTCCGTAACCTTACATGTATTCATCACGCACGCTGGCTCAAAACGTATCCAAACGCTTCGTCCAATATCCTCAGTCCCTCGTCAATATCCTCTGGTACAACAGTCACAGGAGGCGCCAATCGGAAAACGCCACCCATACCAGGCAAGTTGACAATGTTGCAAGACAGACCCAGCTCCATCGCTCTGTCAGAGACAGCCTGCCCCAATTCCGACCCAGGAGCCTTCGTCTTCGCGTCTGAAATGATTTCAATACCCTGCAAGAGACCACGACCGCGGACGTCCCCAATGCACCAGTACTTCTCCTGGAGCTTCAGCAAGCCAGCGCGGAGCTGCTCACCCCGCTCAGTGGCCTTCTGGCAGATGTTGTCGCGCACGACAATCTCAAGAACCTTGTTACCGACAGCAGCTGTCAGAGGATCGTTGAGATGCGTTGTGAGCCACAGGAAATTCGCGTTCTTGCACCCTTGCGCGACGTCCGCTGTGGTGCTGACGGACGCGAGGGGAAGACCGCAACCAAGAGTCTTGGACAGGCAGAGAATATCGGGGACTGCATCGTCGTGCTCAAAGGCGAACATCTGGCCCGTACGTCCGACGCCGGTCTGCGCCTCGTCAAGAATGAAAAGCATGCCGCGCTTATGGCACTCGTCGCGCAGGCGTCTCAGGTAGCCCTTGGGGAGATCGAGGATGCCGCCGGTGGAGAGAATAGGCTCCATGATGAACGCAGCCAAAGATCCGACGCTTTGCCTGTCAATCATTGACCAACCAAAATCCATCTCGGTCTCCCAGTCATAAGACCCGTCCGGCTTGCGGAAGATGGAGCGGTAGGCGTAGGGCGCGGGAAAAGCGAGTTGGCCGGGCATGGCGGGGCCGCCGTTCTTGCGGCCGGCGGAGTAGGTTGCGGAGCCGGAGCCGGATGTGAGGCCGTGGTAGCTGGCGGACATGGCGACGATTTCGAACTTGCCGGTGTGGAGCTTGGCCATCTTGATTGCGGCCTCCGTTGTCTCCGATCCGGTGTTGAGGAAAAAGGACTGCGGTCCGAGTCAGCGACTATCACAAGTATGTATGAAGGTTGAATCCTGCGCACCTTCTCGAGAGGCGCGGGGAGAAGCTTGCCGAGTCTCTCAGCGAGATCAGCGACCGGCTGTGTGATCATGTTGCTGAGCAGATGGTCCAGTTCAGCGACATACTTCTGGACAACCTCCACGATTTCAGGATGAGAGTGACCCAAAAGCGAGCTCATTTGACCGGACGTGAAGTCCAAAATTTGGCGACCCTCCGCGTCGTACAACTTGGTTCCCTTGGCTTTGGTGATGATGATAGGGGAGTATGGCACGCCCGTAGACATCAAATACTTGTCGGTCTTGGCCCAGAAGGCCGCGGTGCTTTCGGAAGCCATGACGAGGAGAGTGTTATCGATGCTCTAATGTTCTATGAGAAGGCGCAAAGTGTCTCAATGAGTTGCACGGGATAAATCAAGCCTTCTTCGACCTTGAGTATTTATTCTCGTGATAAGAGTTCAAAGTCTCGATTGGTTTGCCGCGGGAAGCGGGGCATTGCGGGGCCGGGCACAAGTTGCCCGTGGTAAACCAATTCAAGCTCCGCGGAGCAAGATTGCGCCTGGTTGAGTCTGCCTCGGAAAACTTAATTGTTCATTCGTAGCATAATCAACGATGATGATTGAATCATTCTCCCCCCATCTTCAATTTTCGTACGTCGATATTTCACCCTCAACGTTGCTCCAATATGTCGGAGAAGCCATTGGTTGCATAGCGGAACAACGGTTACAATTGATGTGGTATGACCGCCGCGAACCTTGTCTTCCACGGTTATCAACAAGGGAAAGAGAAGAAAAAAAGCACACAAAGATGACGAAAATAACATTGTTTCCCTCTAGCTCCAGCTCATTCTTTTGACTTGGATTTCGCGAAGCAAAAGTCTAGAGACTCCCGAGCTCATTCGCGTCCCAGACATTCATCGGTCTCCGTCGAAATCTTGATGTCAGAATAGGTATGGCTTTACCTGTGATCCAAAAATTAGTGTAGGCGCTTTTTCCCATGGGAAAGAATGCGGATTTCAAACACTATTACCCATAGTGCTGTTGCCTGCAGATGGCATCCACAAAGCCAATGCAGGGTACCTTGGTTGCCTGGTAATCAGCAGGGTTAACAGGAAGGGGGTCAACGCTAACAACACTAGCTCGTGATGTATCTCAGCACTCGGGTGACCAAAAAAAGGGCCGCTTCCTGAGCTACCCCTAACTTCAACACTTACACTTCCGTAACGAGGGGTAAGAAAAGGATTGAAGAATATTCAACAACTACCTTACTCTCTGAAGAATAACTCAGTATTAATAAATATCGTTTTTCTGAAGTTGGGCGTAATGAAATAGTAAGAGCAAAAAGGTGCGCTCAAAAGTCGTCCGTTTATTCTGTCACCCAAGTGCTCAGGCACCTAAGGCTGGGCACATGCCCGCAGTTTATCCCCGCCAACGCTGCCAGGCTTACCTAGTAGGTATGTAAAAAGCTCATCCAAATCAACAGATATTGCCACTTTGTTCCCATTCAGATGATTCTTGATTGTATCTCACTCTACAAATCTATGCCTGTGCATAGACTCATTGCTCAGTATGCATTGCGAAGAGGTGCATCAACTTGATCCCGACGGCGATGTCGAGCTCATTCTACGTAATCCAAATGCGCCTTTCGCAGTTTGGGATGAATCTGAAGATGCTGTTGTGCAGCACCTGAACGCATGGTATGCTATTTGTATTTGAAATGCTAGGATGCTCTAATGACTGATAATACATGTACTACAGCGATCAAAGGCTTCCGATCATAGCAAAATACTCGTCGTATTATCTTGACTGGTTCGACAATGCGAAGCATGTGTCAATTTTCCCGCCGGAGCTGCTGAACATCGACAACCCTTTCGACATGGACGGTTTTGGCAAACCGCCCCCGTGCAGGTTTCTTCTTTCCTCTCGACATCTCATGTTAGCCTCGTCCATCTTCAACAAGAAACTTTCAGGCCCTTGGAAAGAATCTCTTAAAGATCCTGTTGAGCGGGTGCGACACATTGAGACAACGGAGTGGGATGTCGATGCTCTACTGATACTTTTTCAAATCATACACGGAAAGCACAGTCATGTTCCACGTTTCGTAGACCTCGAAATGTTGGCCAAGATAGCAACCTTGGTTGACTACTATGATTACCACGAAGCTGTTCAACTGTATGGAGACATGTGGATCGACGGCATCAAAAACGACCTTCCTACCCAGTGCAACCGTGAGCTAGTTTTGTGGATACTGGTGTCTTGGGTTTTCTCAAAAGAGAACATCTTCAACCAAGTCACGAGAACAGCCATTCTTGAAAGCAAAGGCCCTGTTCCCACGCTCGAGCTGCCCATCCCTCAATTCCTCATCGGTATGTTTTCATGCTGCGCCAAACGATCCAACATGGGTATTGACAATCACAGACACAATCGAAACTCAGAGGATACAGCTGATACGTCCGGTCGCTGCTCAGCTTCAAAATCTTCTTGACTCGTTACGGAATGGCACAGTCGGCTGCAACTATGAATGTTCTGCGATACTGCTGGGACATTTAACCAAGCAAATGTACTCTCATGATTTACTGGAGCTTTTGTCGGACCATACATGTATAGGCTACGGGATCTCAGATACAAGGACTACTCTGCGTACCTTTCGTTCCCCAAGGTGGCCAAAGTATAACATTTCTGGGGCTACCTGTGCCAGTCATCCATGTAGACTGGTAGACGAGATCTTGACTGGTGCATGCTCAAGCTTTGACGAGAAGCTTGAAGGGCTACGTCTGGATGATGTTCAACCTTAAATCTGCCATCCTTCATCAGGGCTGAGAAGAAGATCACAATAAAAAGTCTAAGTCTAGTGGGTAGCTGCAACGTAGGTACATATTCATCCAGCAGTAAATCCCAGATCGAGTGATTGTAGCATAGAAGAAAACTGTTATCGCAAGTTGATTATCAGAGTCAAAGCTGATAGCTCTTCCAAGCCTTTCCCCAAGCCACCAGCCCTTGGATCTTGATGTTGTCACTCAGCAGCTTCTGTGTCACTGATGGGTATCATACACCATGTTTAGCATCAGTATAAACCAAAGGCTGAGCGGAGCAACATCTAATTTATAATCTAGGATTTGGTCTTCGCAGACAGCAATTCGCATAAAAGAGGCTTCTTTTGCCACAATGTGTAAACCTTCATTTTATTCCAGTCGAAAGATTCATGGGTCAAGCGGACATCGAAGTTCAGGAACAGAGATGCCAAAAGCTACACAGAATTAGCATATGTTGCTGGGGAGAATGACCAGCCAGCCTGTAAATAACAGTACGTTGAAGTAACGAGTATGTTACTAACCAATCGAAGTTCATGCATAGCAAGATCCTTAGAAATTGACGTCAGCCCAAGGTATCCAGGAAAGCATCGAGGGCTCAAACCTTTCCAATGCAATTGAATGGTCCCATTAGAAACGGCTTAGCCATGTCCAGTTGATCGTTCTCGAATTCGGGGTCACGAAGCCATCGTTGCGGGTGGAACTCGAGGGGTTTCTTGAAATATAGTTCCTGAGTGTGCATAGATAGAAAGTGGATGCCAACAATTGTGCCTCCAGGTATCCATTCTCCCGCCACCCGTGCACCTCCTTTTGGGATCACTCGAGGTAACATGATTGGTAGCGGCGGATGTAGACGAAGCTATTGGCAGGTTAACGAGGCCGTCCTTCGACTTTCATGGAAGCAGTCAGTAGCGTTAACGCAAACCTACTCCTTCTTGGATCACTGCTTGCAAGTACGGCAGATTTGCCAATGCCTCAAGTGACATGTCTTCGGATGTTGAAAATCTCAGACGAACCTCCTTTGTAACCTTCTCCAGATGTTGTGGATTCTGAAGAAGATAAAAGGTGATTGCGGAAAGTGCTGAAGCAATGGTTTCTGTTCCCGCCGTCATGAAAAGGAACCCATTGGCGTACTGTTCTTCCATTGTTAAGCTTTCTGATTCCTTCTCCATTCCGAGGATTCTAGACCATAGGTCCGGATGTTTAGGCTCTCGCTTTAGTCGTCTTTCGACGCGCTCAGCGCAATACATCCAGTTCTCGATCTGCTTCCTCTGGACAGCCGGGTTGTACTTGAGGAAAGCGTCTGCCAGCAGCCTCGCAGCTCGACTGTGGGTCTTGACCCCCAAGAGGAAAGTCGCAGCCTTCACAGAGCCAAAGATAGACTCGACCCATGGAGAACACTCCCCTTCTTCAAGCATATTGAGGTCTTCGTTAAACGTCAAGTCGCCCATGATGTCAAATGTCGTGCAGTTGAAGTACTTTACCATGTCGATTGTATTGCCGGCGCCAGCCTTTCCCGCCAACTTGTCAACAAACTTCTCAGCCCATCGATGGAAGATAGGTTGCTGGTCTATGAGAGCTGTGTTACTGAATGATCGGGCAAGAACCTTTCGTTGCCGGGCATGTATCGAATGGTCTCTGGCTGTGATGAGATTGCTCACATCCGTGAAGGCGAAGATTTTTGAGTAGAACACTGGCTCCTTGATGATGCCGCCTTCTCTTGCGACGTTGAACCCATGAATGTCCTTCCATACTCCATCCCCGCCCGCAAAGGAAAGTACGCTTGGTGCTACTCTGACGATTGGTCCATACTTCCTATGGAGCGCTGGCCGGTCGATGTTATCTGTGCCATTGACAATTGACCAGATTTCGAATATGTTGGAAACGGCACGATACTTCGGTCCAGGAAATTTGCTCAAGGGGCCGAAAAAGGCACTGTAAAAGACGGTGATAGTTTTGTATACAATGCAAAGGATCAAGAAAGCGATAGTCGCATTCGACAACTCAGAGCGGATCATCGCAATAGCAAACGCAGATTTAGGCATCGTCACCTCTAGGGCAAGGTCTGACTATCCTAGAGTCTCTTTGACGTTTGTCTTGTCTTATGTCTACATCTTCGTCATTTGCACTATGGGAGTTAGGTGACCAGGAATCCTTGTGCAACTCGTCGGAACAGAGGTCCCGCCAGGGGGCACTGCCGGACGGGTAGAAACAGATAGTCACCCCGGGGGCTGATCTCCAGATTAGGCAGTTGATTATAGTTTGAGAAGTACCGATAAAATCGGACGTTCGATTATAGTTTGCTAAAGCCCGATGAAATGGAAACGTGAATCTTCGGCCAGTTCCATCTCACATCATCCACAATATCTTGAATTTGATTGGACCGGGCTTCACGCGAATCATTCGTATTCTCGATCGATCGACTTCCCAAAATGCCTTGCCCGATGATCTTCACGTGCATCCTATGTGACTGGTTGCCATTGGGACGGTCAGAATGTTTCTAATGATTCGAAAGTAACATCCAGGCGGCCGCACGGTCACTGATGCGGGGACTAACGTGAAGATTATTTACAGACGATGACCCTTTTGTTAACTATGCTCTGGTGATATCTAGGAAGGCGACTGCAATCCGCTTCAAGGAAACACTGATACTAGTTCTCGTTTGGGCAGCCAGCTTTCAGAGTGCATCACTAGCTGTGCCGTAGATAAATCAAGTTATTTTGTATTCAATCTACGGACCGAGTTTCACCTCGATTATTCCACAATCTCCTTTTCTGTCTCCCTGTGCTTTCCATACTTTCGCGATACTCAATCTCTCATCGGCGTCTTTGATCAAAGATTCCCATTGCCCGAGAGTTCGCTCTTTTGCATTGTGCATCATCATCATAACAATGTCTGCGTGATTGATGAACCATTCGCTATCCTCGCCATGAAGATCTGGGGCAATCATGTCTTCGATTAGGATGCGAGACTTGTGATCCATCGCCTCGCATATCATCTTCAGGATATTGGCACCAATAGCATCCGAATGATCATGTAATACGCGCCGCATGAAGTACACATCAGCTCCCTTGACGGGCTGCGGATTGAATGCGTTGTGTATCTGCCACTCAATTGGCAATCCAGAGTCTTTGTAGGCTGACCTGCCGAGGAGGATAGGTCCCTCGAGATCCTGTACAATGAACTTGAGCTTGGGGTTTGCTTTGGCGATCTCACTAGAGACGTGTCCACTTCCCCCGCCTACATCCACTATAAGAGCTCCGGGTTGAAGGTCTTGAAATGGATATAGTACGAGGCTTGATGCATAAGATCCTGTGAAAGGGGTCATTCCAAGGGAAAATCGGCGGCCTCGATCTGGATCTTGCTTGTAGTAGTAATCGAATGATTCTAGATCAGCTGGGGCATAGTCAGTCTCTTGGGCATTATCAAAGATCCAGTTAATTCAACATACTTTGGAACGCCCTTGAGAAGGCGCTCTTTCCGTTGTCTACCTTGAAATCGTTCTCTTTCATCGTGCAAGACATGGCTGACCCCGCGCGGAATATATCATCGGAACTAAATTCAATGAGATCTCCGTTATACTGACTGAGCTGAAAGTCGGATCATACCACAGTCCCATCAGAGCTTCTACGCCCGGTAATTTCAAGATAATCGAATTTGCATTTTGAAGATAAAGACCCGATGAGACCTCCCGGAAAACATATCGTTGAGTCAAATATCGGAGTAGACGGCCTGTTTAATGCATCAACTCGGATCTTCGAAAGCGAGTGATTCACATACTGATCAGCTCTTGGGAACCACCGCTGTTATTTGCCAGATCACGCAAGGTACTTGGACTTTGGACATCTGCGGAGACCAGTTGATGCAATCGGAGTTCGAGTGCAGTGTTGAGCACGGCAGGGAATACGTGTCCCCCAGCTGACTGCATCATCCACTGTATTATATTAGAGTCAAAGGAAATTGACATGGGAGCACAATCACATGATGCAGACATGTTGTAGGAGATCTATCAGGGGAAACAGGACTTACACCCATAGGTCCTTGGACCAATGCTGTCAATTTCTCACAGGCTCTGATAATAGATTGCCTAGCACTCTCAGCAACTGGAGGTGCAAGAAGAATATCTGTATTCATTTCATCTAAAGAAGGCGGTTTTCGCCCGTCATTTTCGAGCTCGAGCAGTAATTCGTCGATGCTTTGGTGAAGGATCTGTCGCAACTCCTTCAGGTCCTGGGTTTTCGAGATCGAAGAAGCCATTGCGATAAATTTACGCTATGATATTGCGTAGGACAGTCTGGTGCTCCTTAATACTGTTGGCGAAATTTGTGCGAAGAAATTTTATGTTTGTGGCAGGGAAATCCGTTCCGGTATCGCCTTTCTTAAGGAACATTCATAAAACCTTCTTGGTATAGAGTTCAACATATGTCCAAGGTGAAACATTACGCTTCGGTCCCAGGTGCTGCCTCCCCAAATTCCACAGCGTGAGCAAGATAGAGGCACATTTGCAGACTCTTTGCTGGTGAGATCAATTGCTACAAAGTGTTCGTGTTCAAATATTTGGATCTTTAATCATCATGTCCCTCACCACACCCATGAAATCTCCACAGTAGCTCTTTTCAGCTTTCATATATCTTTGCCCGATTTTCACAAACCCCCAGCCAATAGTGATCCATTCGTGCGGATCATAGTCCGGTGCATGTTGAATGAACTTTGCCAGTCTATCATCTAGTGCAGGAAGATCTTCTCTTGACAACTTGGTGGCATAGAATGCTGCTCTTTCAATTTCACCTGTATCAAAAGCCAGTGTGAGGGCAAAGGCAAAGCTGCCGTCGTTTGCTCTTGACAGTTTACTAATCACCGCAACTTCGTTCTCTTCTAATGGCTGGCAGTCTGCTAATCGGAGTAGTCCATCAGCTTGCCCTTTGCTGAGGGGTCCTGGAACACGCCAGTAGATGTTGATTGTGTGAGAGTGCCAATCGACAGCAATAGTCCTCACTCTGTCCAGCTCGTGGTCCTTGAAAGTGCCAAGGTGACGGCGGATTCGGCGTGGAACGAAATCAACGTCAACAACGTCTTCCATATGACGCGTCTGGCCCAGAAACAACCACGTCTTGATGAGCCCTTTTGAGGTGTCAAAGTCACACCATTGTTGTACCTCGCCGTCGAAAAGTGAACTCCAAGACTGTATCAAATCTGTCAAGAGACTATGCTTGATGAAGCCTGCTTGAATGGCGGTGGCAACGACATCGGCTGATGCAGCTTGGAAAAAGCGATAGTTGAGTGCAGAATCCTTCGACGTGACTCGCCATCCCACAGGAGCGTTGTGAAAATGGGTGTGATACGCCTTCAGAACGGCTGTCGTAGTTGATGCTGAAAAGGGTGCATCGATAACCTCACAAAATCGTTCAACGTCTTTGAGAAACCGAGGAAATGAAAAGTTGATTGCATCCTTCGTGTTCGGGGGCTCGCAGCTATGCTTGTTTTGGTCATGGTAGCTTGCTAGGGCGGCGTGGTGTACTGTGTTCATTGTGTTCCTAAGTTTGGTAAATTTTGTTGATTCAAGGCGAGAGGCAAACGGATGCCGGAGAAGGTGTTTGAAAGGAGGAGCTAGACTTCTGCATGATGATGATTGGGTCGTTATGTCATTACGGGGGACTTCACATCTCTTACAAGAATTCCGCACTTATGATGAAACTGATGCGGCGTTATGATGGTCTAGTATATCTCCGAAGAACATGCATGGAGTAGCTGTCATGGGTGTGCTTGGATGTTTTTACCTTCTCCTTGCAGTCCCTATCAACTAGCCAAACGTGAACCTCTTACGGCGTACTGACAGTTCCCAGACCAGTTTCGATCGTTGACATTCATCAAACGCAAAGTTTGGATGAATCAACCCCGCGTTACGCCCGTACTGCGGCGTCGGACGGTGCCACCGACGGAAATCACGGCATCTTCAGGTTCATACCTTCAATTACAGCAAAAGGATTCGTTCTTTTCCGAGCATGTGCTTATCCGGGCGCTCACTCCTGGTTGCGCCATGCAACCACTGCCGGCAGCCGAAACAATCGCACTATTACATGTTAAATCTAAGCTTCCACCGCCATGGTTCGCCAGCCTTACGGTAATTTCGTAAGTGGGATGCCTATCAATGCCGCCTCTCCGATTGCAGACCAAGCTCCAGGCAGACCAAGCTCTAGGCCTCTCAAAAGCTCCTAGAGAGAAGACGTAATCATTTCTCCCGGACACTTATCCCACGCCAAAGTGTCATGCGACGACCCTAGTTATCTCTTTTTGCGCCACCCAGCCAAAAGCATGAATGCAAACAAAGCGCCGTGGATAATTAGATGCCCTGGAGGACCACCTGCCATGCTTTCTTCCGGTCTGTAATTGCCTCTGCGTTTCTTGATCCTGGTCCAGGCTCTTCTTATGGGGAATAGGTGATAGATAGCCATAGATCGTGTAATCATGACGCTCGTATCGTCAAATGTCTTGGTATCACTTCGGATGAGAGACAAAAGGCACAAGACGTTGGTAGCTAGAAGCATGCCAGCGTAGTTATGGCACACTAAGACCGCCTCTTCGCTAGCGTCAGGATCTTGTAGTTGCTTGTGTGGCTGGCAGAAGAACGATGCGGACGCCGCTGACTCGAAGATGAGGTGTCCTAATAAGGCAACTTTCCCAATATGCATCTTTGCTTCAACGAAATGATGAAATTGAACGGGAAGTAATTTTCTTTGCTTTTAGCTGAGTGAATCAAAGCGGCAAAAGACGCCCGCCGTTGGACCACTAATCTTCGTGGCACACTTTCGATAATGTGATGCTGAGATGAGCCACTGCAACTTTATACTATGGCTCCCAACCGATCGGTTCACTCCGATACGTTTCAAGGATGGAAGTATTCACTCCGATGGATTGGGACACTTCCGCCGGTCCTGTTCATGACTAGAGTCAATGGTGCGTCAATTGCATCCCTGTAGACCACGTTTCCAAACCACGGTTCCCCTGTTCCGGGGAATTATTTCCTCTCGGGGATGGGTACCCACCAATGATGAATCATCTGTCGGCGGCACACTACTTGTAGCGACTCAGGTGTAAGCGGGTCGAAGCACACTTTGAATCAACTACAGCTTAGGTAGTGGAGGGAGCTCACGCTTCCTAACTAGGCGAGGACCTCGATTAATCGGGAGAAATGTTTAACTACCCTCCGTTTTATTCTGCTCACTATGAAACGAATGATTGCAAGTTATAGCGAGTTAGGCTGGAGAAACCTCCGAACTGCCCCATCTCGGCTCTTGGCTGACAATCAGACGACAGGAAGCAGGATACTCTCATCAAGTGTTGTGTTAGGTGTAGAGCGGCCTTTTTTTAGTAGGTTGGGGAGGCCTTCAAGGCGTCTGTACAGCTAGGATCTCGAGAGAAAACCATCAGCCTGAGTTTCCACCCATCTCTGCTGCTGGCCGTGACTTACTCGGCCAAGACTAAATCGCTTGAACTCGGCTAGTCATACTTCCAGGTACCAATACATTCTATCGCCGAGTCTGGACAGCGGAAGAGCACCTCATCAGTCTTCATTTCCAATTGAGCGTTGGGTGCTGCGGTCTGTGTAGCAGGTTCTTACATTCATACTGTGTATGTGGCAACAGAAACGTTCTTCTTCCAGCGCGTCTTCATCGAAGCAAGGCCTGCTCACGTACCTTTTAACAGAGTTCCAAAGTAGTCGACTATGGGAAGCCTCGCCGATGGTATGGAGAAATCAAAGTCCCAAATTAAAATAACAGAGCTACATCCTTATTTTGGTGCCGAAATTTCGGGGGTCAACTTGTCAACGCCTATGTCAGACGACGTCTTCGAGAATATTGTCGCATTATCAGCAAAGGTGAGGCCATCAATCTGACTACAATAGTGTGCAAAGTCGGGACGATGCGACGTGTAGTTTGATATACTGCGTACTTGGTGACTAACCTATCGCAGTACGGCGTGATCGTTTTTCGTAGCACTGGTCTTGATGATACCAGCCATGTCGAGCTCGCTCGCCGTTTTGGACCGCTCTTTAGCATGAAAAGGGTGCTGGGCAATACGAAAACACGGCTCGAGACTGATGAGCTCGCCGATTTGAGCAACATCGACCCGGACACAGGAGAGCCTGTCCCAACCGAAGGTCCCAAGACCCAAATTGGTAGACTCGCATCCTTATTTCATCCAGACCTTGCATACAGTCAACAGCGAGCTTCGTGGAGTCTTCTCAGAGCGCACGAAATCCCACCGCCGGGATACGGAGGCGACACTATCTTTGCTGATACTAGGACTGCCTTCGACGAGTTGGACGATGTCGAATCCGGCCTCAAGGAAAGACTGTTATCCAAGAACTATCGTGGTGTTCACTCATGGCAGCATGCACAGAAAATCAGTAACCCCGACTTGTTCAAAGACCTAGACCCTTCAGCCTATCCTATGGCCAGGCACCAACTTGTAGAGTTGCACCAGCCATCCAATAGGATGAATCTCTATGTTGGGCTGTACATGCACCATATTGAATGCGCACCCGAGGAGGACGAAGAGATGGCAGACCTCCAAAAAAAGCTACTCAAACACGCAACCCAAGCCAAATACCAATTACACGTGGAATGGCATGATCCAGGTGACTTGGTCATATGGGACAATAGGTGAGTCGACGATACCTACCAGTAACAATGCGAGCCTCAAGGTCCTGACACGTACTCCTTTACAGGACAGTATTGCACAAGGCTGGTCCGGGAAGCTATGCTGGACGGTTCAGAAGGGACTTGAGACGCGCAACTGTGCTGGATACCTGACATCTCTGGCTGGTGAGGTAGCCAGGGTATTCCGTTCGTAGTAGAGCCACAGAATATGTCACAGACGGTGCAAGTGGCCATAGATAAGGTGTTGGATCTTTCAGGGCCCGCAATCAACAGCGAAGCGTACTGTGTACCAATGGTCACTCATTAGTAGAATACGTAGTGCATCTGCTCCCCAACAAATCTTGATTCTGAAGTCAAAAACGAAACGTAAGTATAGTATGCCACAGGAAGTGGAAGAATCTCAGCGAGAAATGACAGCGATGATGAAGTTGGTCTGGAGTAGCTACTGAACACCAGTATTAGGACGAGATAAATGAGTCTATTGCCTGATAATGGCCTGAAGCAACGAATTTCAACGTCTCCCATGACTCCAGCGCCCTCACTGATCGATTTCACAGCGTCTCAAAAAGGCCATCTCGCTGGCTAGACCAGGCCCGAAACTGACCGCCACCACGTGCTCGCTCCCTACACCCATATTCCTAAGCTGATCGAGCACGCAGATTGCCGTGGGGCTCCCAGTATTCCCCCTGGTTCTGTAAATGTGTCGCGTTGCCCTGATTTGATGGTCATCCAAAGCCATGCTGTCCTTGACGTTGTTGATGACCGATTCTCCTCCAGGATGAAGGGCCCAGTCGAAGTCGGAAATTTCGAGTTCAGGACGACCGACCTTCTCGCGGTATGATGGGAGAAGCTTATCCCATAGAGGACGGACTGACTGCTTGGCGATATCCGGAACTTGCTTGGAGATAATGCTGGTGAAGCCAGTCGGCTTCACCATGGCACCCATATGGTGTATCGTTTCTGGGACAGTCATGCGCTCCCACTCAAGTAATTGAAACTTGCCCTGAGCGAGGTCATCCAACCCATCATCGTTACACAACACAAAGGCGGATGCCGCATCGCCGAAGATGGCACCCGCGATATCCATGTTTTCGATGTCGGTAGCCACCTCAGCCTCTGCGTATTGGTGTCTCAAATACATAGTGCAGACCTCCGAAGCAAAGCAGAGGATACGGGCAGGCCTCTTCCGAGACGTCGCAGCCATGGCAATGTTGGCAGCTACGCGCATCAGGGCGACGCTGCCAGCACAACCGACACCGTTCAGAAACATGTTCTCGACATGATAGCCCAGACCAAGTCTGCGTGCCACCAGATAGTCGTAACCGGGAAGGCTCAGAGACCCTACAGTGACTCCTATAACATGCGTGATCTCGTCTGGGTCACCACCCCAGTCCCGCAAAGCCTTTCGGCAGGCCTGAACTGTTAGATCAACTCCAACCTTGCGGAACCGCGTATCTAGTTCCTCAATGGTTGGGACCTCAGGTTGACAGCCAAAGCCGGTTTCGAAGTCCATTGTCGATGCTCGTGTTTCAATTCCGCTGCTCATTGTGAGCTTCAGGAGTCTAGCGAGCCTATTTCAACACCCCAATTGTTAGCCCTCAGAATTGAAAGAAAAAAGAAAAAAAGAGGAAGACAGGTGCACTGACACCGGTTTTTCGATGTCATGAAATTTCTTTGCCCAATTGACGAATGTCTCCGGTGGGATCAAATACGGAGGATACTGCGAACCGATGCCAGTGATCCAAAGACCAGTGACCGGTGAATGAGACAATTCCTTGCCATGCCCGCCATTGCGCGGGTAGCCATTTTGCGTCTGGTTGTTCAGAGTAATTCTAGTCATGATAATTCATTCAGACTTTGGTTGCACCGGGAATCATACAACAGAAGGCAAAGCGACACGTTCACTCTTAGATGGCTGAACAGACAATACTTGACTGGTGTAAAGATGAAATATGCAAATAACCGCATGTGCGGTCAAGCACGGAACACAAAGGCTAATTGTGTTAATCAAACAAGGATGCAGGGAGCGATAGATGAGTAATCTAGAAACATAAGAAAATCAAACAACTTGCTCCACGGCCACTTACTGACATTATTTCCAAATGTCGGCCCTCGTCAAAACCCCCGAGTTTCAAGCCCCTTTGAAAACTCCGAGGACGTTGACATGAGGATCCAGCAGGGGTGATATTTTGGCAGGTTCCGGGGCCCGGCACGGCCACAGGAGGGTCGGGATTTGGAAGGTACTGTCCCGTAAAGGAAAGAATCCTGAAACACTGGGCCTAAAGTATTTGAAGCCGACGGGAGCGACTGCTTCGCTCTAGCATTGCACATCCCGTCGGCTTTCTCGACCCACATCTGGCCTTCTTTTTCCGAGAACAGAGTCATGGCCATCGGGAATGTCACCGCGGTAAATCAATCCGCTCCACTTCACATCTTGGATTTGGTATGCTTATTACTGCGACTGAGTAAGAGATAGGCCATCACAGCCAAGTACCGCCGAATGAATTCACAGACCTTGTTTCGCAAATCATAACATTCACCAAGAACAGCTTAATCAAGACAAAATGTTGTCAAATCTGTCAACGTATTACGGCGAAGAGTTGATTCCAGGTCGCAGCGGCAGCCGCGACAGTGGGGTTGCTGTAAATGGTGTAGATGGCAACGACACAACAGACAGCGGTTGCAGCACTCATGGAGGTACCTCTGGAGATAGCAACACGGCCGCTTTCGAGCCGGTGGCAATTTGCGGTATGGGAATGAGGCTTCCTGGAGGTGTGAACGATCCAGATGCCTTTTGGGATATGCTCGTGAACAAGCGCGACGGGCGATGTCCGGTGCCCAAAGACCGCTATAATGCTGAGACATGGCATGCGCCAGGCAAAAAGAGGCATGTTCCTAGTGATCATGGCTACTTTCTGGACGGAAGCATCAATATCAAGAACGCCGATGCTTCCTTTTGGTCAATGACCAAGAAAGAGCTCGAGATATTGGATCCTCAGCAACGTTTAAGTCTGGAAGTCGTCTACGAAACACTTCAGAGAGCAGGTCAAAAGCCCTCTGAGCTCCGAGGAAGGAAGATTGGTGTTTGGGTTGGCAGCTTTGGCGGCGACCGGGCTGAGCTGGACGCCGCCGACCCACAAACCGTTCATCCCTACAACTTACTCAATGGCTTCGACTTTATGCCGGCAGATCGAATTCACTACGAGTTCGGCTTCATGGGTCCGAGCGTTACTGTTCGAACAGCTTGCAGCTCCTCACTGCTGGGCTTACACCAAGCCTGCTATGCTCTGATACATGGCGATTGCGAAGCAGCGGTTGTAGCCGGCACTAGCATCATATACTCGCCCACTCTCACAGCCACGATGAACGATCATAACGTTCTATCTCCTTCAGGTACATGCAAGACGTTCGATGCTGAGGCAGACGGCTTTGTACGTGGAGAGGCTGTCGTCGCTATTTACGTCAAGAGGCTCAGCGACGCGGTTCGAGACGGGGACCCAATCTGCTCAGTGGTTCTTTCCACAGCCAGCAACTCTAGTGGCAAGTCTTCCACGATGACAGCACCGAATCCAGATGCCCAGGAAGACTTGATCCGGAGAGCACACGAGGTCGCTGGCATCAAGGACTATTCCAGGACGGCGATGATGGAGTGTCATGGGACAGGGACCCCAGTTGGTGACCCTCTCGAATGCGAGGCTGTGGGACGCGTCTTCGGAGATCATGGCGGCATCTACATTGGCTCTGTGAAGACCAATATTGGACACGTTGAAGGTGCCGCTGGCCTTGCCAGTGTCTTGAAGATGACGCTTGCTCTTCAAAACGATATGATACCGCCAAATGCCAACTTCAAATCTCCCAACCCCAAGATCCCGTTCGATCGCTACCAACTAAAGGTTCCTACACAAGCCATTCCTTGGCCCCAGGGGAAAGACAGAGTCGTCGGCGTCGGGTCGTACGGTGTTGGTGGCTCCAACGCTTACGCCCTCCTGGCCTCAGTCGACCACGTCGGGATTAAAGATGACAGAAGAAGGACGAAAACAACAAAACCGCTGCCAATTGGTTTAGAGTCCCCCAAGCTACTTCTGTTCTCCGCCAAGCATCCCCAGGCGCTTGAAAAGATGGTGAAGCGCCATCAGGCTTATAACTTAGCCCACCCAGACCGATTGAGCGACGTAGCGTATACCTTAGCAAAGAAACGGGAGTTGCTAAGCTACCGCGCTTGCTGCGTGTCGAATGGTATTGATGACTTCCCAACACTCAGGCCGCCTCGACATGGTTTTTACGACCCTGCTCACTTGGTTTTCGTGTTCACGGGACAGGGCGCGCAGTGGGCACAGATGGGGAAGTCCCTCGTGGAGAACATTCCATCGTTCAAACTTTCATTGGAAGCGATGGACAGTCTGTTGCAACAGTTACCAGACAGTCCGACATGGAATTTAATAGGTATGTCAAAACCTCAGCCTCACAGTCAGAAGGCCGGTGTGGTCTAAGTCATCAGCCAAGCTGACATGACCTCAAAACACAGACGAGATGTTGGCACCGAAAGGAACTTCCAGAATCAACAACGGGCAAGTCTCGCAGGTTTGCTGCGCAGCTCTTCAGTTGTGTCTTGTAGACCTCTTAAAGACATACAACATCAAGCCAGCAGCGGTGCTGGGCCACTCGTCAGGAGAAATCGCAGCGGCGTACGCCTGTGGGGCAATTACTCAACGCGAAGCCATCATCATTGCCTACTATCGTGGCAAGGTATGGGGGGCCGTAGAGAACTCAATTGGTGGTATGGCTGCCATCGGGATGGGGAAAGCGCAGGTCACGCCATACCTTCGGCCCGGCGTGTTGGTCGGATGCGAAAACAGCCCAAACAGCGTCACACTAACCGGAGACAAGACTTCTATCGATGTGGTAGTCAAGGAGATAAAGAAGGCACATCCGGACGTGCTTGCCAGAGCTCTGCAGGTGGATAGGGCATATCACTCCCATCACATGCAAGCAGTTGCTTCGCAATATGTCGACCTGCTTCGACCACACGTGCAGCCTCGTGACCCAAAGACGCCCTTTTTCTCTAGTGTCACGAACCAGCTCATATGCAAGGGGACTGAACTTGGCCCCGATTACTGGGTACAGAACTTGGTATCACCGGTTCTCTTCAGTGGAGCTGTGAGCAAAGCATTGCACACCCTTAATTCCGAGAAGGCTTTCCTAGAGATCGGTCCACATTCTGCTCTTGCAGGTCCTATTCGACAGATCTTAGGGGCTGAGAAAATCAACGCCGAGTATATCGCCACCCTCATTCGCGGCCAGGACGCTCACCAAGAAATCCTCCGTGCTGTGGGCGAGCTGTGGCTACGTAATCATCCGGTGGCCTTGGATGGCGTGTTCGAGGAAGGAGACATTCTGACAGACCTCCCGTCGTATCCTTGGCACTACGAAGGGCCACTATGGCATGAGTCTAGGCTATCTGAAGAGTATCGTCTACGCCAGTTTCGGCATCATGAACTCCTTGGCAGCAGGGTGTTGCAAAGCACAAACACAAGCCCAGCTTGGCGAAATTTGCTACGTCTAGAGGATGTGCCCTGGATCGCGGAGCATGAAGTTGAAGGGGCCATCATCCTTCCAGGCGTCTCCTATCTGTGTATGGCTGGTGAGGCTGCTCGACAGCTCACAGGAAAAACAAACTTTATATGCAAACAAGTTCACTTCAGTGCGGCTCTACCCATGACGTACGAAAGTCAGATGGAAATCATTACTCAACTCAACCAAATACGCCTGACCGACTCAATTGACTCGGATTGGTACGACTTCACCATTTCCAGCTACCAGGACGGAGGCTGGGTGAAGCACGCGTATGGAAAGGTCCGAGGTGACTGTGAATTGTCGAATATTAGCCTGGGACAGTGTGATGCCAAAGATTTTAGCAGCGTCTTCTCGAGGGTGTGCTCCTCCGCCTCGTGGTATCGCAAGTTTAGGTCCCTAGGCCTGGAGTATGGTCCACGCTTCAGCGGCATGGACATCGCAGCCGATCCCACAAAACCGCAGATCAAGGGGACTTTGACGCTTGACCTACTACCGGAAGAGGAAAAGTACTATTCTATACATCCAGGGGCGTTGGACCGTCTTGTTCAAAGCTTATACGTGGCCGTCGCCCGTGGTCTCACGAGAAATTGCAACTCGCTAGCACTCGTTGCTTACGTCGATGAGTTCGCCTTTACAGCGCCACTAGTAGGAGCCCAGGAGCTGGAATTTTACGCAAATGTCACGGAACAGAGGCCTGGATCGTTTCTGGGTAGCGTTGACGCTGCTCTCGACGGCGGTAGCGTAGTCGTGAGCTCCAAAGGGTGGCAGCTATCGAGAATCAGCGGCTCTGACGACGCGAATGAGGTTTCTAATCCACACGGAGCTGCAGAGCTTGAATGGAGGGAAGATATTGAGTTCATTGATCCCTCTTCTCTGATCCGATCTGCGATAGACGCCTCAAAGGCGGAGCTGTATCGGCTGCTCGACCGGTTCAACATACTTTCCCTCACCCGAACACTCGACAGCATACGCCACATTGCGCACCCTACACGTGAACACCTAAGCAGATACCGGAAATGGCTTGAAGACACCGTCACTGGACTTGGTTCTGGCTCTCTCAAATGCCCTGGAGTTCCAGACGCTGAGTATCTCGTCAGTTTGGCGTCGAAAGATCGAGATGTCCTGCTTTCATCGCTGTTCAAAGACCTTGAAAAAAGCGAGGTCCATGCTCCTGCAGCAGCTATTCATCGTATCAGCTCTTCCTGCGAAGGAATCTTCAATGGCGATGTCAGCGAGCTTGAGCTTCTTCTGGCGGATGGCGTACTTCAAAACGTCTACAACTGCCTTCTTCTAGACACTGACTCGTCAAGGCTATTATCACTGATTGGGCATAAGAAGCCAAACCTTCGAGTGCTGGAGATCGGGGCCGGAACTGGAGGTGCGACGGCTAGCACGCTCCGGAGCTTGACATCGAGTCACGGCCAGAGGATCTATCAGTCCTACACCTACACTGATATATCCAGCGGCTTTTTTGCAGATGCAAAGAAGAGGTTCGAAGAATACGGGGGAATTGAATTCGCCATCCTTGACATCAGCAAAGACCCCTTGGAGCAGGGATTCCAGGCCGAGTCATACGACCTCATTATTGCATGGAACGTCATACATGCCACACCAAACCTTCACGAGTCGCTCAGTAACATAAGGAAGTTGATACACCCTGAAGGACGGTTTCTACTGCAAGAGATATTTCCGATCACGCCCTGGATCAACCATTGTTTTGGCGTCATCCCAGGCTGGTGGCTTGGCGAAGCCGACGGTCGCGTTTCCACGCCCCATGTCAGCTTTGAGAGATGGAAGAAGGAGCTGTCGGACTCCGGATTCGGTGATATTTCAAACAGTTTCGACGGTTACACGAACAACAACATCATTTGCCGGCCGTCACAACCTATGCCCTCGTCGACACGAGTTACACTTCTAAAGTACAAGGGACAAGATACTAAGCAGCTTTTTGAGGCTCTGCGGCGGGCTTCATACGAAGTCGATGAATACACCTTGGAGGATTCGGAAGCGATTCTAAACCCAGAACAAGACGTCATATCCGTACTCGATGTCCTTTCTCCCTTTTTCGCCGGTCTGACAGAGGAAAGATTTGCACACTTTCAGCGATTCGTCAAGAATGCCCACGACAGTGACTGTGGTATTTTATGGCTTACTGGCCAATGTCAGGTCGGCGAGAAGATTCAATCAGAGTACGCTCCGCTTTTTGGCTTATCTCGCGTTCTGCGGACAGAGCTAGGGCTTGATTTGGCCACTCTTGAACTCGAAAGTTTCTCCCCGGCGGCCATCGCTCATGTTTTCCCGAAGGTATACAGCCAGTTCGGGAAGCGCGTCAAGAATGACCCGGAGAGCAACCCCGAGTATGAATGGCTGTACATGGACGACAAAATTCTGATCAGCCGTTATCATCATATTAACCTGACAGCTGAGTCTCAAGTGCTTCCAGAAAGCATGGGTGTGCGAAAGCTCTCCCAGCGCAAGCCGGGACTCACTGACACACTGTACTGGAAGCCAATGATAACTCCAGCGCTCAACAAGGATGAAGTCAAGATCAAAGTGAAGGCCGTCGGCATGAACTACAAGGACGTTCTCATTGCTCAAAGTATTATCACCGATACAGCGGCTATTCAGGATGGACTTGGTCTAGAATGTGCCGGCATTGTCTTGGAAGTCGGCCCCGATGTAGACAGGGTCAAGGTGGGAGATCGCGTCATGGCCATATCTAGCGGGTCATTCACAAACATCAAAGTGACGTCCCAGCAGCTATGCTGCAGGATACCGGACCAGATGAGTTTCGAAGACGCTGCCGTGATTCCTGTTGCATACTGCACTGCTTTTCATGCGCTATTCACCCAAGGTAAAGCAATCAAAGGAATGGTATGTGAAACACCTCAACTCCATACAAACCTCAATCTCAACCGTAACTAACGGTATGCGTGCGCAAAGAGTATCTTGATCCACTCGGCTACGGGAGGTGTGGGCTTGGCGGCACTCCAGCTCGCTCAGATGCTAGAAGCTGACGTGAGTTGAACGATTAATATAAGGCTTCATTGTTCAACCAATACTGACGAGTATCTCAACAGATTTACTGTACTGTCGGCAGTCAAAGTAAGAGAGACTTTCTCATCGAGAAACTCGGAATTCCCCCAGGCAAGATTTTCAACTCCCGCGACTCATCATTCCTGCCGGGCATCAGGGCAGCCACAAAGGGATTGGGGGTCGACTTGGTCCTCAACCAACCATCAGGAGAGCTGCTGCACGCTTCTTGGCAGTGCGTGGCTGAGTTTGGTACCTTCGTCGAGCTCGGCCGCCGGGACTTCCTTGGACATGCGAAGCTGGCCATGGACCAATTTGAATCTAACCGAACCTTCTGTGGTATCGATCTGGCACATCTCTGGGCCCGCAAGCCCCGACTCGTTGGGGATATGCTGGAGCGAGTCATAGATCTATGGACGCAGGGCCACATTGAACCATACATCACCTCTACTCGTTCAGCCGCAGAAATTTCCCAGCCCTTCCGACAAATGCAACAGAGCCAGCACATAGGCAAGATCGTTGTAGCATTGCCAGAAGAAGCTGAATATCAGCTGCTTCCCACCGAGCCCATCCACAAGACGATCGAACTACGGCATGATCGGTCATATCTCTTTACTGGTGGCCTGGGATCTTTGGGTACCGTCATTTCCTCCTGGCTTGTGGAAAAGGGGGCCAAGGAGATCATTTTCCTGTCTCGTTCTGCAGGTCGTCTGCCGGAACATGCCTCTTTAGCCAAAGAGCTGGCATGTCTGGGTTGTAATGCCACATTTGTTTCGGGCAACGTCGCCAAGTATGACGACGTTGTTCGAGCAATCGAAACCGCCAAAACGCCAATCGGAGGGGTTCTTCACGCTGCTATGGCTCTTCGGGACGCTAGCTTTCTCAGTATGAGTTGGTCTGAGTGGCTTGCGGCATCGCAGCCGAAGATTGACGGAACTAGGAACATCCATGAGGCCTTGCTGGAGCGGCAGCCTGACGTTCCGCTTGAGTTCTTCTTCTTGTTCAGCTCCACAGCAGCTACAGGTGGATGGTGGGGACAGGCCAACTATCATGCTGGGAATTCCTACATGGAATCCTTCGCTGGTTACAGGCGAAATCTGGGGCTAGCTGCAAGTGTTCTAAATGTGGGCTTTATCAGCGACGTCGGCTACGTGGCTGACCGACCTGAGGCAGCTGACTTGGCCAAGGCAACAGGTCAATGGTTCAACACCGAGGTCGAGCTCCTGAACTGCATTGAGCGGATGCTGATGGAACCTCCGACGGGCAACGGCGCTTCAGCTGCCTCGTGCCATGTACAACCATCTTTATTGGCCATGGGAATGCGGTCTACCATGCCGCTTACATCGAAATCGTGCCGTGTCCCGTGGAAGAGAGATCGACGAATGCTTGCCCTTCGCAACCTGGACTCGGATGACAGCAATATTCCTTCAGGCTCAGACAGTATGACGAATGACGAGCTCAGCCACGCCATCCGAGAGCTAAGCTCTAACATCGTTTCGCTTCAATCAGGAGAGACCACAGAATTTCTAGCAACGCATATTGGGAAAACGCTGTGCAAATTCCAGCTTAGGCAAGACACCGACCTCGACTTCCAGGCTCCATTAACGGACCTCGGTCTAGATTCCCTAGTAGGAATAGAAGTGCGAGCCTGGATCAGGCAATGGATGGGCGTAGATCTGGCCACGCTTGAGATTACCGGGTCCAAAAACCTAGAGCAGCTTGCTACGGCGGTGCAGAAAAGGATGATTCAGAAATACAACTCTAAGACATGAGGCGCAAGCACCCGCATGGGATAGGATTTCAAAGTTTTGCTTCCTGTACGTAAATAGACATGGCTTGGGGATCAACTTGGTCTCAGAACGAAGGCTTTTTGTGGGGTTGCGAGTAAGCCTTAACCGCCGCTAGGCATGCTGTGTAACTCGCGGGGAGTTCACTGAAGTCAAGGGCGACCATATCCGCCAGGAAAGTACCTGGCATACGCTAAGCAGCATGCTGAACGGGCTGTATAATTGCCGGGCGAAGTCCTACCTACACACAGTCAATTTGAGTTAGTTAATTGTCGATCCTTCAGCAGGGCGTAAGCCCTGGTCAACTACCGGAGGCGGCCGCAAGGCTGTCCAGGGTCCTCAGTAGGTGACCAAGGTTCCGCAGATCATCGAAATCGCCCCGGTAGAAGTTGAATCACGGAGCTTTAGACAGTACGTCAGGGCATCGCCGAACATTTGACAGCTTTATCGGGCGAAAGAGTGGAATCAAGTGCTGGATTTCTATCATCTGACTTGCATCCTTGTGGGGGAAATCCTATGGGCGCTTGATGGGCTTCAGCTCTGCATATAGAAGGCAAAGTGCCCATTTGTCGAGTGTCGTACCAGTGCAAAGCCTTTCCCGAACAAGTATTTCTCGGCTTGTGTCCAGAGGGCAATATGACTAATCTTTCCAGGATTGCAAGCGTAGCAAAATGGAACCAGCCTCTGTTCAGAGTAACTAGATGGAGGTTGATACCAACGTAACTTCGTGTGAGTTGTCTAGTAAGGCGGGGACTTTACCAGAGTTCTTCGCGTATCTGTATTGGACGCTCACGATAGTGACAACTTCGGGCAACTCTGGCTTCAGTATCCACATGGCGGCCGCTCGGCCCACCTTAGCCTACTACACCTCAATGGCTTATAGCCTTCTCGGCGTTCCATTCTTGATTGCCTCATGGTGGCAACTGATGTCTCGTCTGCCTAGGACGTGACATGGTTCATTTCACTCACTCACCAGTTGCATCGACAAAACCACCTATTACTAGCGGTGAACACTGGGTATGCCATGGACGGATAGTCATCGTTGGTGCAACATGGCGTTGAGGAGAAGGATCTTTTGTATGATCTGCCTGGACGGTACCTAGTAGTTGTCTCAAATTGGCCGGCCAGGCGCATTGCTTAAGACATTCATTTTAGGCAGACAAGGTAAAACTCCTATCGAGACTATGAGCCCATAACTATGTTGTGATTTTTCGTGAGGATGACAACACGGTCGGGTGGTCAACTATATAACCCTTCAGATCTCCCGCGTCTTTCTTTCTTGACCTCCAATAGCATCAGCCTCTCACCTCATCACATCTTTCTACATCTCCACAGCCATACTTCTCAAGCTTCTTGACCTGCAGTCTTCTCACCTTTTCCCACCAAAATGAAGTCTTTCACCGTCATTGCCGTCACCCTTCTGGGTCTCACCAACGCTGCCAGCATTCGCATTTGCAAGGACCAGACCATCACCAAATGTGTCACCATGGACGTCAACGGCTGCAGTAAGTTTGTGACTATAGTCCTGTCATGATACGAGGTCTAACAAAGCTTAGCCAACTTCCCTGGAAGCATGAACGATGCTGTCAGCTCTGTTGACACCGGCAGTGCCACCTGCACCTTCTACAAGTAAGTCATCACAGTCGGTTCTTCAAACTGGACGTGGCAGATTACTTCAGTTACACCCAGCACCGTGTGTCAATTGAAATCTAATACGGTTTGCGTTATTTCAGGGACGGCAGCTGCACTGGCGGCTCCTGGACCACTCGTGGCCTGCAGAACACCGTTCCCACCAACTTCAACGACAAACTCAGCTCCGTCAGATGCTAAATGGCGTAGTGACACGTCAATCCACACAACCATCTTGTCACGGGAACTCTGGGCTGCTAAATAAGTGCTCTCCTGGCCTTGGATGCTTGTGAGGGGCCCCTAGCACTTCTGGCCGCCTGCAGACAGTGCTTCTTGCGTCGTGGTGTAAGCTGGATACGTGATGTCATTTAGCTTGTTCCTGGGTTTGATATCACTTTCAGGCGCATTTAAACAGCAGGAAAATTCCAATTGCACTCATTGGATTTAACCAGTCAATACCACTATGCGAATCATATCAATATAATCTACGTGGTGATGTGGAAGATGCTCTCAAAGCGGGTGCACCATCTCATCTAGACCCTCAATATGACCTTTTCTTCATTATTCGCCAAAATGGCAAAACTCTTGATTGAAGTGACTAAGCTTGCTGTGGCACCTGATACCTCGTCCTGCCTGCGTGCAGTCCCCGATTCCACTTGCCTCTCCGAGGGCCTGGCGTGATCACAAAGTGGTCCAGGCATACCGTCCTTACCCCGAAACGTTCTGTCGCACAAGTTTGAAACCTAATTTGATTCAAATTTCATGAACTAAATGAGATGGAGAAAGTGAGACAGCTTCTTGCTGATTTGCTGGTACCTCTGCTGGAGGCGGACCACCCCGCACGCAGCTGCGTCCAAAGTTCAGCGGGTCAAGAAATTCAATAGTCCATTTCCTTGTGATGAAATAGAACCTGCTGCCCACAAGCCTCGCCGGATTTGAGCATATTTCTATCATTTTCATGCGTCATAGGTGTTTCTTTCAACATGATCGAAGGAGTCTCCCACAAGCTTGACCCCAATGGCGACGTTTTACTCACTCTCCATCCTTCGACTTCTCCGTTTGCGCCATGGGACGAGAGAGCATCAGCAGCGACTGAAGGGAAAGGAGAACGCATTACCTCGCCGAATGGAAGGTTGCCCGATGTGCACGTGACGTCCAAGGCTGAAAGCATAAAATATCTGTTATCGTCTCGGCACCTTGCTCTTGCCTCCCGCTATTTCGCATCAACGTTGAAATGGACCGGGAAGGAGGCTTCAACTAGAAAGATGGACGGTCCGCATCATGTGGATGCGTCTGGATGGGATGCTCAGGCGTTTCTCGTGGTGATGAAAGCTATGCATGGAAAGTTCCGTGGCATTTCCCGTTGTGTTGATCTCGAAATGCTCGCCAAGGTCGCCGCGATCGTGGATTACTATGACTGCCATGAGAGCCTGGAACCACTCTCGACAATATGGATTGAAATGCTGTCTAGAGCATCGCCTCTACCGAAGACATGCGATCGAGATTTACTCCTGTGGCTTCTAGTATCATTTGTTTTCCGGAACGAGGCCATGTTTCAGCATGTTACCAAGACAGCTATCCGGGAAACCAAGGGGCTGCTCCCATCTCTGGATCGACTTCCCATTCGATCGTCCATAACGGGTGAGGATTCCACAAAGTTCGGGGTTTTAGCAGGTCCTTAGACTAACCTTTAACGATGCAGACGCAATCGACCAGCGTCGCGAAGATATCATTGAACGAATCTTAAAAATGCTGGAAAACCAAGCTGAACGATTTCGAAACGGCTCGTCCGGATGCAAATTCGAGTGTTCGGCGACCCTTCTGGGGCTGTTGGTGAAAAACATGGCTGAGCATGGATTAAGCCACCCAACGCCGTCTCGACCCTACACGGGATACAGCGTGACAGGGCTCGAAAGGTCTATCAGAGCCTTCAAAAATCCACCATCTTGCTGCCCTTTGAGTCCGTTTATTGTACCTACTAGGATAGAAAAGTACGACAATATCACAGCGGGGCTGGAGGTGAAAGAATTTCTCAGTGACGAAGACATCGCCGACAGTTAGGGCAGGTCGTCACAATGAGCGGGCCAAACCTTCAGTCAATGCTTTCTCCATATCGAAAATATTTACCATGTTGGGCTATTCTCACGGCACGGTAGTCAAAGTAAAGTTTCGGCTAGGGGTGTTTGTATTTGCAAGAGAGTGGGTTATTCCAACGCATCAAAATCTAAAGGAGAGGGCTCCCCAAAGCCGCCCGGCTACAGTGACCTCTTATCTCTGAATGAGCGTAACATACTAATCCGTGAAACATACAATACGACCTTAGCAATGTGTCTAAGCCTTGATGGCAGAGCTCTGCAACTTCAAGCGACGGAAACCGCCGCGACAGGCGACATCGCTCTGAAGCTCAACCATTCTCTTCTGGTCCCCAGTAGGATCCTCCGAGTCGGCGTCAAGGCCCCACCCCAGAAACTCGTTGGTATAGTTGGGCTCGAAGCTCTCATCCAAAACACCAAGCCTCTTGCCGTACTTGGTAACCTTAGTCCAGTCACGCTGGACGTTCTTCAGGTCATGCGAGAAGTACGCGAAGCTGCGCTCGAAGATCTTGCGGTTGAGGTCCGAGCCCATGACCGGCTTGAAGTCGACATACTCCTTCCAAGCCTCCTCGGGCTTCTCGAGGACGTAGTCGGTGGCCCGCTTGACAGCCTTCATGAACTTGCGAACCTTCTCAGGGTTCTCAGCAATGAAGGACTCGTTGCCGATGTAGAGGATGGTGCAGAAGCAGCAGCATCCAAGTTCAGCCAGCTCGTCAATGCGGAGCATCTGGACGTCCGTCTTGGGCCGGCCCTGGGCAGCGAGCCACTCCTCAAGCTCGACCATCTGGACGTTCTCCAGACCAATGCCGGCGTCGATGGTGCCCTCGATAATGGCCTTGGAGACGTTCATGCCGCAGCGCACGGCGGTGTAGTCGTCGGGGGTCATGCCGTAGTGCGAGGTCAGCTCGTCGATCTGGATCTTGCCGAACTCGCCGACGTAGCCGATGCGCTTGCCCTTGAGGGTGCGGAAGTCGGTGGTGATGCCGGAGTCCTTCAAGTAGACGACGCCGGTGAAGGGCTCGTCGAGGAGACTGCCAATGGAAACGACCGGGAAGTTGCGGGCCTTGGCCTGTTGAGGGATTAGGGAATTGTCGAGCCAGAGCAGGGGTCTTGTGCGGAACCTACAGCGAGCGTGTGGATCATAGCCTTGAAGCCAAGATCGACTTTGCCAGTGCCGATGATCTCGGTGACATCCTGGATGAAAGTTAGTGACAGCCCAGAACGAAGGCCTCGATAACAACGTACGCTAGGGTCGTTGGGCTCAAGCAGAGCGACCTTGATGCCCTCATCCTTGAAGTATCCCTTGGCCTGAGCCAGGTATAGGGGGGCGTGGTACGGGGTGGCGTGCCTGACCCAATGTCAACTTACATTCACAGCATGCACGCGGGCATTCCTACCAGTTGGTGAGGAAGGTGATCTTATCAGTCGACATTTTGACAGATCAAGCGTGATGCTGCACGGGTTAGTTCACTCCCATTCTCTCAAGTGCAGGGCGGCAGGGAAGCCAAAGAAGCAAGTCCTTTCGCTGGTATTATCCAGATCAAGTTCGCCGGTATTTCTCAGATTAACTCCCTGTCGTGCCCTTCCATGTCGGCGCTCCTTACGATCGAATCGAGATATCGAGGGAGACCGGCGTGGAAGTATGTGGCACGGCAGATGAGTCAAACACCCGGATGCGTTCTTCTCTTACTTTACCTCGATCTGTAGATGTTTCCATTGCGATAGATGCCATGGCTCTCTGACGCGGACGCGAGCGTCGTACCGGGTCAAGTATAATTGGTGTTGGTCTTTGCAGTTTGGTTTGCTTGCAGCAATGAGTGTGAGCAAAGTAGGTCGAGGAAATCCAAGGAGGGCTTGTAGTTCATATATGCCTCGTTGGAGGGGTAGCTTCCTCAACAATTGAAGCTGGGCCCGTTTCCCCTCATTTGGTCGAAGCTAATCCTGCATTTCGGCCTGAGTTCCGGTTTACCGACCGAAGACGTTCGTCATTGACGGAGACTACCGATACGAAGGAACAGCTCTCCTTCTACTCGCCTATTGGTTTTGAAATGGGCGGGCAGGGATGATTAAAGTGTTCTGACATCAATCATGCCCTTCCGCTGCGTCAATTGATGAGCACTTAAGCCGCCGGTCGACATGAGATTGTGTCACAAAAGTGGCTCACCAATCCTCTAGCGTTAAAATCAAGCGAAGGTTCAAGCACGCGAGATCAGAGGAATGCTGATTCGTCGAGCGAAGTAAATCGATTGCTAAAAAGCCTCAGAGAGAGTCTTGAAATCCACCAAAGACCGGCATGATCTGACTGTTTCCCAGCGGAAAGATCGGGGCGGACCGGGCTACTCCGCGACTGACCTCCGGGATCGGAAGCTGACAACCGACGGGACCCACTCGGAGCCGGCTTGTGCCGATGATTGCCGCTCATCGGCGGCAATGTCAGTTAGAGTTACTCCGCGATCTCGAAAAAAGAAATCTGTTCTGCAAGAAGGTGCAAGTCAATTAATTGATTCTTGAATAATTCGCTATAACTACGCTGGAAATCCACTGCTTATACTGTTGTTCCTATTGCTCTTTACTTCACTGGCGTTGATCCTCGGCTTGTGTGTTGAGCGTTCATCTCAATCATCCCCGCCTCATTTCTTGCGTGGAACGTTTGCTCCTCCATGTGCAGGTCATAGATGCCTGCGTCTTTTGACACCAAAGTGTCTCTGTAGATCCACTTGCTGCCCTTTGCCCCCTCCGTGGTCAACCCTTTCTCAAGAGCTTCCTCGTTCGCCCTCCTGTCTTGGATCGCCATGGACCTCATGACTTGCGCCATCTCAACAGCGCCGCCGTCGGGAACAACAACCCGGTTCGCTACCAAAGCCGCCGCAAGACCTAATGCCAGCTGCAATACAGCTGTCAGGAGCAAAATCATGTGGATCATGTTCCAGTGAGAAACGTTGAGCTTCGTGCCTTTCATCGGCATGGTACCCTCCAGGGTCAGCGAGGGGTTGTTCAGCGCGGCAATGGCTACAACGCCAATCGTGAAGCGGTTCAAAATCATCTGCATGACTTGGTTGGTGCCGTTCATGGGCGTTCCAAAGATGGACTCTGCGGGATACGTCTGGTACTGGAAGTTGGTGTCGTTGGCGAGTGACGAGGCAGCATATCCCTGGAGGGCGATGGCTGCCGTCGCCAGCTCCGTGAGGTTGGTTCCGACATAATGTTCCGGCAGTGTGGCGTTTGCCACTTCATGAACCGAGACGTTGCAGCTGTAATACCATGGCGAAGTAGCTGATGCCTCAAAGACGGAGACGATGCTGCATCCTGTTCCGCAGTCAAATTGGGAGTTTGTCATGAATGTCGACTGATCGCTACCGCCGGGGACGGGGATGTAAAGATCGTAGGTGTTGCCGTTGTCGAGAGCAACGGTGACGTTCGTGGTGTTGCCACTGCCACCGCTGATGACCGGCCAGGATGTGCAAGATGATGTAACGTTGATACTTCGGTTGGTGCACACGGTCATGGGGTTCGTATCGTCGTCTTTGATTGATGAGGTGGAGGTTTCGTGGAAGACATATTTGCAGAGGCTCTCGTCGCAGAACATGAGAGGATCACTTTCGACGTAGATGGCTCTGGCCGATGGGACTTTCTCCATGGCTGCCGAGTCATATGCCAGAGATACTGTGCCACAACTGGGCGATGAGGTTAGCTCCCGCGGTTGACATAGACTTCTGGTGACGAACCTGTTGGCGGTGTACTGCAAAGCACCGAGTCCCTGCCTGTTTGATTTGACGACCTTTTCTGTTCCGATTGTCGTCATGTCAGGGATAGTAACATTGCCGGGAACAAGCAAGGCTTGTTTGTCTGCGGTATCGGTTGAGTAGCAGAGACCAATTGCTGCAAGACCGATTTGAGAACCCTAGGAGAGTCAGTGATAGCAACCACGAATGCCAACCAGGGAGCATACTATTGACAGTATGAGCCAACCAGTGGCCGCCATGTGAATGGACCAACGCTTCGACCGAACCGCCAGCATGATTGTGTGCTTCAAGTTGTCCGCGGCAAGGATTCGCTCAACCTATAACCTCTCGTCAGCAATCTGTCTTGTTACACCATACCTCACTTCTCAAACTCGCAGACTTACCTTACTCTTGGAACGATATCGCCGACTCAAGATCCACCATCTCAACTCTGCTACCATATGGTTCAAACTACTGGCCACAGCAATACCCAAGGCAATCGAGAGACCGGTGATGAGGGCATTGTACTGTCGCTTCGTCGTCTGGCTCATGACGGGCTTGCTTGAGTAGACCCAGATTACGACGTATATCGAGACGATCACCGCCATTGTGATGCCCCATCGAGATAGCACCTTCGCTATGACTTTCCATCGCGTTTGCCTTTTGGCTGGCAGCCCGTGGAACGGTCCATCGTCTGTCTTCTTCCGAAGAATCGCGGCGTCCTCGCTGTAGTTGTAATCCTGGGTGGGAGAAGAGACCTCGGCTGGACAAAGGTAAGCCTCGTGATTGACATTAGTCTCGTGTTGGATCAGTCACTTACTCTTTACCCTTCTTAGTGAGTTAGGCATCTTGCCTTACCACGCTCGGCTTGCGAGCCAGCTTCAAGTCCAGTGGTGTGGTGGGCGAAGTCGGAGAGGTATCGCTCTACCTCCTGAGGGGTAACATGAGCCGGTATATGAACGAAGGGAAGAAGACCTTAAAGACTGGAGACCACAAGGTTGTCATCTTGAACGAAGGGCCCGTCGAGACTAACAACCTTTTAAAGCCCCGTAGCCACTTCGGCGGAGGGTGGATACAAACCCCACGATGGAACCTCAGCTCTCGATTCGGTGCAATGGTGAATCGCATATCAACAGGCCTCCCGGTTGACCCGATGGGGCTAGTGAATCAGAGAGCCGTCGCCGCCCCCACTGGACACGCTCTTGCTGGCATTTCACCAAGACTTCCAAGAAGACTCCAAGAAAACCACCGGCATTCTGGGGAGAAATGCAGACGCGCAATCCAAGACAACTACCTGGCCGTCAGGCACCGATTCTCGAGGCCTCCAAAACAATCGTCAACTAACAAAGCTGCACGAAAAGCGAGAGCCTTTGGCTGGGCAAACAGTCAGGAGTAACAATCTCCCCTCCAAAAAAACAACTACAGTGGACACGGAGTGAGAAAAACACCCAAGCGCTCGGGACGCCCCGTGCAAGTCAAGGTGCCCTGGGTCACGACTCATGCACGCCAGGGGCCGTTCAGGGCTGATGGTCGCTGATTCTCGCTGACATAACCCTGTAGGGCTTGAAAACGGCCAGCCTGAAATGACATCTTGGGTGATTTAGGGGCAAGCTGCAGGCGGAGCTCTGTGATGTCCAGGTGCCGTGGTGGAAAGACTGCCCGATCGAGGTAAGATAGCCCGTCATAGTCTCCATTTGCAGACATTCACCGATGAGTCTAAGTTTTGCAGATTTCACTTAGATGGCGGCCGGTTGTCTTGGCTTTCCATGCTAAGATTGTCCCGGCAGCACGCGATCACCTCAAAATAGGTGGCGAGAAGTGTCAATATCTCGATCTAAGGCATCTTCAACAAACTGCCCAACATAAAGCAACATTTCTTCTTATCATTAAGCTTGAAAGTCAACATTCCCTTGAGGGACGTCAACGTGCCTGGGGGTTGAAAAGATGAGACAGGCAATGGGCCCAGCTGGACCGCCAGTGTTAAGAATCAGTGGTCAGCCGCAAAACTGCGAACCCCCTGTGCCTCCCGTGGACCCCCAGCTAGCAACGTTTAAAAACAGGTCTAAGACAGGGGATCTTGTCACGGCACGGTTTGCCGTCCCACCATTTCCACTGTTCGGATGAGCAGGTGTGGGAACCAGGAGGCCGGAGCGCGCAGCTCGCGAAGCTGAAAGCGGACGCGTGCGCTGCCCGCGCGTCCCGTTGGCAAGGTTGGGCCTAAATAGAGTTAGCCTTACGGGGTCGGCAGTTGGGATGCACAACAGCTTTTTGATGATGCCACACTGAACAATTTGCTGAGCCGCACGAAATGTTTTTGAGCTTATTCCTACTGACATATCCTGTCGCCAGGTATCCAGTGACGACAGTAGATGCCAGCTAACTCATTCCATGGAGGCTCAAGCAGAAATATGCGTCAGCAGCATTCATCTGAGAATATGGGCGATTGGAATTAATGAAACTCATGGCTGGTCACCTTGGTGGTATACAGATAAAAATGGAATCACAACACGGTAGGAACCTTATATGGAGCATTGCTGTGTTCACAAAGAAAAGACCACATTCCTGAAACTGTGACTCCCGGGGAACCCGCGATGTTAGCCCGGGGGCATCGTCTTCTCGACTGTCAAGTCTGCGGAAGAGTGGACCGCAACGGGACTCTGCAGTGTTTCGCGGATGCTCCCATGGAATGGATACCCAAATTCTCCGTGAA